CTTTTTTTAAGTTTTTAAAGTTTTAAACGTTTTTACGTTTTACTTTTATTTTTATTTTTTATTTTTTTACTTTTTTTTTCTTTTTCTTTTTCTTTTTCTTTATTCTTATTTATTTTTTTTTTTTTTTTGCCTGTGCAATGCCGTTGTAGTGAATTTCTCGGCTTTCCCTTTTTAACAGTCCAATCGTATAACGGAGTTTAGTGTTGCATTTAAATTTTCGCCCACCACATATTTCTTCCTTCGCAAACCACAAATCCTATAATATAAAAAAATTTGGAAAAATACAATAAAAACCAAGTTAAAATATTGAAAACGCCATGGCTCTTACGGATCTGAATAAGCAAGCTGATGTCGCTACTGAGAGCGAAGTTAAGCCCACTACCTCTGTTGAGACTCCCAACCAACAGGAATCTGGTGCTGGCGAAGCTGAAACCCAAAAGCCCGCCGAAGAATCTGCTTCTGCTGATGTTTCCGGTGCTGCTACCCCAGCTACCACTACCAGCTCTTTAGCTAACCCCTCTACTACTGCTCCCTCTAGCGCTTCCTTGTATGTTGGTGAACTTGACCCCAGTGTGACTGAAGCTATGCTTTTCGAGCTCTTCAACAGTATTGGACCCGTAGCAAGTATTCGTGTTTGCCGTGACGCCGTTACTCGTCGCTCTTTGGGCTATGCTTATGTCAACTTCCACAACATGGAAGATGGCTCCAAGGCTTTGGACGAACTTAACTACACTTTGATTAAGGGCCGTCCTTGCCGTATCATGTGGTCTCAGCGTGACCCTTCTTTGCGTAAGATGGGTACTGGCAACGTTTTCATTAAGAACTTGGACCCTGCTATCGACAACAAGGCTTTGCACGACACTTTCTCTGCTTTCGGCAAGATTTTGTCCTGCAAGGTTGCTGTCGATGAGTTGAGCAACTCCAAGGGTTACGGATTTGTCCATTTTGACACTGTCGAATCCGCTAACGCTGCTATTGAGCACGTCAATGGCATGCTTTTGAACGACAAGAAGGTTTACGTTGGTCATCACGTTAGCCGTCGTGAACGTCAATCCAAGTTTGAGCAAATGAAGGCCAACTTCACCAATGTTTACGTCAAGAACCTTGATACCGAAGTTACCGAACAAGAGTTTAGTGATCTATTTACCCCCTTTGGTGAAATCACTTCTCTTTCTTTGGTCAAGGACCAAAATGACAAGCCTCGTGGTTTTGGCTTCGTCAACTTCTCTTCCCACGAAGCCGCTGAAAAGGCTGTCGATGAACTCAACGACAAGGAAATTAATGGTAAAAAGCTTTATGTTGGCCGCGCACAAAAGAAGCATGAACGTGAAGAAGAACTCCGTAGACGTTATGAGCAAATTAAAATGGAGAAGATGAACAAGTACCAAGGCGTCAATCTTTTCGTCAAGAACTTGCAAGACGAAGTTGATGACGAGCGTCTTAAGACTGAATTTTCTGCTTTCGGTACCATCACTTCCGCCAAGGTAATGACTGATGAGCAAGGCAAGTCTAAGGGTTTTGGTTTCGTTTGCTACACTACTCCTGAGGAGGCTAACAAAGCCGTCACTGAAATGAATCAGCGTATGCTCGCCGGCAAGCCTTTGTACGTTGCCCTTGCTCAACGTAAGGAGGTCCGTCGTACCCAATTAGAAGCTCAAATTCAAGCTCGCAATCAATTCCGTCTTCAACAGCAAGTTGCTGCTGCCGCTGGTATTCCTGCCGTTCAATATGGCGGTGGTCCTCTTATCTATGGACCTGGCGGTTACCCCATCCCTGCTGCTGTTAATGGACGTGGTATGCCCATGGTTCCTGGTCACAATGGCCCTATGCCTATGTATCCCGGAATGCCTCCTCAATTCCCTGCCGGTGTCGCTCCTGGCTACCCTGGCATGAGCCCTCGTGGACCTGCTCCCGTTCCCGCTCAAGGTCGTCCCATGATGATGCCTACTGGTGTTCCTCAGCCCGGCCCTGATGAGTCTGCCGCTGTTCCTGGTATGCCTGAAAGATTTACTGCTGCTGACTTAGCTGCTGTTCCCGAGGAAAACAGAAAGCAAGTTCTTGGTGAGCTCCTCTACCCCAAGATCTTCATGCGTGAAGAGAAACTCGCTGGTAAAATCACTGGTATGCTTTTAGAAATGCAAGATTCTGAGTTATTGGAACTTCTTGATGAAGATGCCGCTCTTAACGAGCGTATTGATGAGGCTCTCAATGTTTTACGCGAATTTGCCGATCAAGAGCCTGCTGCTGATGAGCAATAAAGTAGTTTGGTTAATGGATCTTATACTTTGTAAGAAGTGATCTTCAGGTTAGAAACCTATAGGAATTTAGTATAATCTTTATCTTAACGTTGGGTGTTTTATTCGTTAACAGGGACATTGTTTTGCATTTTACATATGTGCGGTGAATGATTTGAGATTCCCGTGAAAGCTTTTTTAAATGCAGAATCCGGTTTGATAATACAATAAACTTTTATAAAAATTAGTTATGGTATGGTCATGTAGTTGGATGATAAACTTTTTCTATTCATTACGTATATTATAGTTGATCGAGTTGATATGCCTATTCATTGCCAAAATACGCTGAAAGCTTTGTTTCTTTTTATGCTTCAAAATCATGATTTCAGTTCATCACAAGCTTTAATCACATTTAAAAGTGTTTAAATCAAGTACAGCTTAATAAGTGACTAGATGATCTGACAGCTATTTCTGGCAACCTGAAAAGTAAAATTAAGCGTTACATCTCATCAAGGACATCGAAGATGTTTCATAATGCTTATGTCGTAGTATCAGTACGTGGAAAAGGACGGACGACTCATTCTGTCTTGCCTCATTTCATCAACACAGATTTTAAAGTCTTCAGGGACATGCTGCCTCGAAATTTGACAGTCCTTTCACCTAAGAAGTTTATGACTGGAGCATAATATGTAAGGAAAATCCATAGATTCAATCAAAAGAAGCTGTTAAGTCAGAAACAGTTGAGTTGCTATTATAATGCCAGCTTCATGAATAGTACTTTGCAAACGATCGAGGTAAGAAATTAGCTTTCTAATTTTCTGAACAAATACTCCATTTTCTTTTCCAGAATGGTATAGAAAAGTCTCAGTAGGGAAGGCAAGTATTCTTACAGGGCAAAGCAGAATGCTTCATGAAGGAGTTAATGAAAAAGGTGGCTTTCGATATTTTCAAATAGATTACAATACTAAATTTCGTTTTGTTTGTTTTATATATTTTCAGATATCATTAGTAAGCTGACTTTTGCATCGTTTAAAAATAAACGTTTACTTCGACAGACCAAGTATTAATATTTCCGCCTCACATACCAAAAAACCAGAAAACCTCCACATATTTCAGGTTCAAACGGTTTTTGCAGTAAAAGCATTGAGTGTATAATTTATTTGGACTATAAACAAAAAAGATTTAGTGGTTATTCTGAAAATAGCCTACTTGATTGTATATTTGGTGCCTTTTCTTAGAAATTGAAACAGAATCATTAAGTCTACACTTTTTTCAATGCCATTGAGTTTTGAAGGAGCATTCAAAGCCAAAAGAAACGTCAATTTAGGCGGAAAACGCACGACGAATGATCGTGGTGAGTTGGTTAGAAAAGCTGCGATTGAACGAAAAAATCGAGAGGAAAGACGAAAAACAGAGTTTGTGTCTATTCAGTTGCAATCTCTTTCTCGTGGAGTTCTTTGCAGAGAACGAATAAAAAACGAATTTCGCTCACAATGGTACGAAAATTATTTACCGGTTGGTGCTCATCAGCTTAACGTATCTGACTGGGACAAATTGAGTGAATGTATACAGAAGTTTGTTATTTTTGCAGATCCTCAACTGGAATTTGGAGCTTTACAGAACGTAATCAGCGCATTGCTTGATTTTTTGCATAGTGAATTTTCCCCTAAAGATTTGACGTCTTCCAAAAGTAAATCAGGCGGGTCAGATGAAAAGATCAAGGAAGCAGAATTATCAAATTTCTATTCAATTAAATCTGAACTTTCTTCTCTCAGCTTTCCTTGGGTGTGGAAGCGGTTTACTACCCTTTGTTTAAAGTCATTTAGCAAGGCGCTTCCAATTATTAAGGAAGAAAGGCAGTATGCAGATTTATACCCGTTTTTAGAAGCTTTAGGCTATTTCTCTGTCTTTCTTGAGGTTTATGAAATTCCTATTTACTATGATTGTTTAATGACCTTTTACGAATATTCTCACCTTCAACAAGAATTTTCCATGTTTAGGAGTGCATTTTCCTTTTCTCTTTTAAGTCCTCTTGACGATACAAAAGATACCTTCAATGAAGTTCAGCAACTTTTTATTTTTCATGTTTTTACGCGTGATTCCTATGAGTCTTTGCTTGATATCATTTCATCCAACTTGGTTGTTTCGAAAATATTTCCTTCTTTGTCTTTCGCCAAAGAAGCGGATATCATGTCTTCTCTAACAAGTTTAGAAACCTCAAAATTATTCTGTCTGGCAGGCGCATGTCTCCATTTATTGCATGTAGAAGTTCAATCTTCAACGTTATGGTGTTTTTGCTCGTTAGCTTTGGATGCCCTATATACTCATTCTGAAAACTCTGTCATCAATCGCTTTAATGCTCCCGTAGACTTGGAAGAGGATGAGGATGACGAATTTTCGTTTGTTCAAGACTACTATGCTCACGTACAAGTTGTTGCTAAGCAATTTAACAAATTACTAACCTCTCAAAATTTGAGTACTCAACGTGCTTTTGCTGAAGCTTTATCATCCAACTTTATAACCAAGGTCTTTACTGAGATTACGAGTTCTACAATATTGAACGTTTCCCATTTTTTCTCGTCTATGTTAAAGCTATTTCCTTCAAATCGCACTTCCACATTAATGTACGTATCCTTAATTGACCATGTACGTGTAGAACCGAACAGCTCATTTGTACAATATTCCTGGGATATCTTTACCGAGTCTCCCATATATCACTTATTCTCGAGGAAAGTCGATGTCAACAGTATTATGCAAACTAACTCCGGTTATTGGTATCAACTTCAATTGCTACTTGACGTTTACTCTCGCATGTTGTTTACAATGGTTGACGAAGAGTTTCATAGCGTCCAGCATAATCCATTGTATAATACACGGGACAAATTATGTATCCTTCTAAAAAATCTTGTTTTGGGATTGTATTGGGATGTTTACGCATCCAAAGAAGTAAACGACAATTCACTGGTTGATATAACTCAGCTTAGGGTTTCTTCAACATCTCTTCTTCAACGATTGTTCCGAATTAATTATCGAAAACCATATCTACATGAAGATTTCTTTTTGATGGAAGAATATTTCAACTTGAATGAATTTGAAACGGGAGCACTGCAAGAGGCACAGTCTGCTTCCACTATGGATATTGACTTATCTACAGGTATGAAAGTCGATAATTATAATGAATCAAGACCAAAACTGAACATTTTGAATAACTGCTCCTTTTTCTTACCATTTCGTTTTCGTATTCATCTACTTCAGCAACTTATTACAATGGATAAGCAAGCAAATGGTTTTATACAACCATTTGGTCATTTAAAACATGCGGTTATTCGTCGAAATCGAATTTTTGATGATGGTTTCGATGCATTTTACAATCTAGGAAAAATGTTCAAAGGATCCATCCGAATCACGTTTGTGGATGAGCATGGTGTGGTAGAGGAAGGAATTGACGGCGGTGGTTTGACAAAAGAATTTTTGACAAGGTGAGTAAACTATACCTACGTTTGAAGTTTCCGGTACTAATGGTTCTAGTATATGCAAAACTGTTTTTGATATAAATTATGGTTTATTTAGCGAAACGAAGGCACATCTACTCTATCCTAACACTCATGCATATGCACAAGATAGTAAGTTAGCGTTATGAGGTTGCATGAAATACTAACCGTCTATTGTAGTTGAGCGATTACGTTGTTATGAATTTTTAGGAATGCTGATCGGCAAGTGTATATATGAAGGAATACAAATAGATGCCGCGTTTGCTCCTTTCTTTGTATCAAAATGGCTAGGACATCCTAGTTATTTTGATGATTTGACAAGTTTGGATAACAATCTGTATGAGGGATTGATATTTCTTAAACATTATGATGGCGATGTAGAAAATGACTTGGCTCTCAACTTTACAGTTGTCCATGAAGAATTTGGTGTTCGCAATGTCATTGAATTAATTCCCAATGGGGGAAATGTGGCCGTGACAAATGACAACCGATTGCAATATATTCATCTAATCTCTAATTATTATTTGAATGCACGCTTATCTAAACAATGCCGGGCATTTACAAATGGTTTTACTCAAATCATTGATCCTCACTGGCTGGCCATGTTCCATGAGAACGAGATTCAAGTTTTAGTAGGCGGAGATCCAGTACCCATCGACGTGAGTGATTTGAAAAAACACACAGTTTATGCTGGTGGTTATGAATTAAACTCTCCTACTATTCAACTGTTTTGGGAAGTGCTTCGAGAACTTGATGAAGAAGATAAGCGTAATTTTGTAAAGTTTGTCACGAGCGTTGCAAGGCCACCAATTTTAGGTTTCAAAGCACTTATGCCATCTTTTTGTATCCGGACGAATGGCGAAGATGAATCTAGACTGCCTACTGCAAGGTAAGTTTTTAGCTTTTCCACTATTCTGATTCTTACTGTTTGCTAACATTGTTTTAGCACGTGTGTTAACTTGTTGAAGTTACCTGTGTATACATCTAAAAAGACATTAAAAGAGTAAGTAATTTAATATTTTGTAAAGGGGCTCTTACTGACACGTTTTCAGGAAACTAATAGTAGCTGTTCGTTCTGGAGGTGGTTTCGGATTCAGCTAAATGCCATTTTGTTTGTTATTATTATTAATGAACTTTTTTCGTCTCCATCTATGGTTAACTAGGTAAGACATGATGTTGATGAAGTTTATATTTATGAAATTTTTTTTTTCGTTTCGTCTTCATTGTACCAATATAAAAGTAAACAGGAAACTCTTTAATCAATACTCTTTCAAGGAAAGATACAATGTAATTGACATACAGTTAGTTATCCAGTTATACTTCTGATAATTGCGAAGAAAAAAATACTCGCTTAAATAAAGCTTAAAATAAGCGAGTAAAAGTCATAATGACGTTAATTATAATATAAAGGAACTGTTCATAAAGACTGCTTTGTCTGCAAACTACCTATACTCAAAATACAGGAAGGAAGATTTTCTTGCTAAACTCTTGCTAACTAATATGTTTAAGAGAGCTATTCTTCCGATGGTAAAAGCGTCTTATAGATTTCCAGTGCAATCATCTGTTTTTGCTTCTAGAAATAGGGACATAGCCATTCGTGCATTCACCTCAAAGGTGAAGAAGTCTTCGAGAGATCAAGAGTTTGCGGTCCCTTCTGTCGATGAGGAAGAAGATATGCTAAATAACTTGATGGGAAACGTTAAGGTCAAATCTGCCGCAGAGGAGGGTGTTCCCGTTGAAGAGGTAATAATGAAACACCCAGAGTTGCTAAAGGATGCACCTGCTCCTATAAGAAAGGCTGTGGAACAAATGATGGCCTCCAGAAATCTTAAATCGGGAAATAAAGACTCCGGATCACCGTAAGAAGAATTAAGGATTTAAATGCTTCCTTTTGCCTTGCTACTTCTTCAACTATTTATGATTCCCACTTACTATTTAAACACATTTATGATTTCCAATATTACAAGTGTTTACCTGCGTACATTCTTTATAATGATTAACGATGATGACTATGTTCGAATAGCTATGGCCTATTTTATGAATAACTTAGTTCATTAAATATAATATTTTATTTGACATTACGAATTTCAATTCCTTTCCTTGCTCATAGTAACTTCTTCAATAAAGCTGAAATTTACAAAAGGAATATTTTACCTGCTCTCATAAGTACGGGAAACACCCATTTCCTACAACACCTATATAAATTGATAAGGGTATCAAAATGGTATCGTGAAGCTATACTAATCCTGATATAAAGAAAGATAAATAGAAAAGACGAATTCCGCAAACTGAGAAGCATGAAGTTACAATTACAACAAACGAAGATCAAAACGAAAACTAAAGTCAACGACCACTTTACTCTAAAACATGAAGGCAAAGAAACGATACACCGTTAAAAATAAGATAAAAATTAAAGAAGCCTTATATGAAACATAATCATTCAACTATTAGCTAACTGCCTCCGTTCGAGTATCATAAAACGATAAATTCCAAACAAACGACAATTCACAGATATATGCGTATGTTCCCAGCAAAATTTCATTCATCAGTACTTCAATAAAGTAATAGGTATATATATGCAGAAAACCATTCATAAAAATCGTTGCTTTAACTAAAACAGCATTATGTAATCCCGAAGCATCAAATAACATAAATATCCATAACCTTTGCAAAAACTAGCGACCGACTTCATCTACAATAGCATCAGCAAGATTATTGGCAAGGCGGTCTGAACGTTCAAACCGATGCTTATTTTTTCTCAGTCGTTTACGAGCAACCATTACCGGCACACTCGACTAAAATTTGTTAGTACCATTCTAGTTTTCTAAAAAATATTCCGTACCTTGTTAACCAAGTAGTTACTGAAAGAACCAAGCAACACACCTTTTAAATGACTGCGTCCACGACTGCCCATAACAACCAAAGTCGGCTCGACATAGTCAATCTATAATCAGTTAATATGACAAAAAAAAGTGACGAAAAAGCAATAAACATACCATTTCCACAATTAAGTGTTTGGCTTTCTCGTGATGAATAACTTCAATGTTCACTTCTATTTCGAGAACAGTTTTACTAAGCAATTTTAAAATGTACTTTGTAATTTTTTCTAAAGTTTCCATCTGTGAAGATTCCATATGCTCCATCTCTAATTTCGGATCATCACATTCAATCACATCGACTATAATAAGAGTATCACCGTTTCTTAAGAGAACACCTGCGGCCCATTCAGCAGCATATAAACTTTCTGATGATAAATCTAATGTAAGAAAGTAGGTACTATTTCTTTTTGAGTTACTGGCAGCGCTTTGGAAATTTCCTCTACGAATCCGTCGGATTGTTCGACTGGCATTAGGAATCCATCGTGTTGGACCGACATTCACATCTAGACTTTTGGCAGTACGAAGGTCTTGTTCAATTTCTTCTTGGTCAGAACCATACCAATTATCGACATGTGTAGATACAAAATTCGTATTTGGACGAACAGGTTCGGACTTGACCTCATTTGAAGAAGAAAGGCCAGGATTGGAACGAGATCGTCGTAGGACATTACTATCACCTTTCATATTCGAATCATCATCAAAAAGTGATTTCCTTTTAGATAGGGGAGCACCAACCAGTTTCTTGAGGCGACTTCTTTTACTGGCTTTACCACTTTTGTTAATTAAAGGTTGAGAAACTTTCGGAGAGTCGTCAAAAGATATAAAAGGTTTGTTTGGACTTGGTAGCCCTTCAACATCCGAATGCGATGAAAAGCCATCTTCGTCTTCGTCTTCTGAAGATGAAGAGGAGGAAGGTAGAGAGCGAGTTAAATGGAGAGGTTCGTCATTTTCATCAAGTGCATCATCTGATTTCGCCGGAGAATGGATCCCATCCTTGGCGGTCTTGGATGTGCCAGAAGTTGAAGAGACAGGAGGAGGAGAAACAACAAAGTGGGGAATATCCGGTTTCGCCGGAGATGTTTCATCTGGTGACGTGAAAGGTTTCGTTACTGGAGAGCTTGGAGTAGTCCTGGATTTCCCAGATGCTTTCTGTGCCTCCTTTTGAGAAGATTTCGTTATTGTTGTACTTATAGAAGGTCTCTGTACAGAAGAAGAAGTTGAAGGTATACTGCCAAAAGAAGCTCTTCGCTGATGTGTCGGTTCGGAGGGTTTCTTTAAATGCGATTCACCATAAGGATGCAGAGCAGCAAATGTCTGTTCTGGTGAAGATGACTTGGAGGTAATACTAGACAAAGAATGTCGTTTATGAGAAGTACTCGGAGGAGACTCAGTAGAAAATAATGAAGATGCCAACACATCAGACACTTTGTTACTTGACATGGCGAGCGGATTCGAAGTCTGAAAAGAAATATTTCTTTTTTTCTCATCTTCTTTTTCTTTTTTCTCCTTTTTCTCCTTTTTCTTCTTGTATTCGTCTGATATAGGAGGATTCTTATAATGAGGTAAAGAAGTCATATCTGCTGACTCTATTCGGTATCCTTTCTCGCCAGGTTTTACAAAACAATAATCACGGACGATAGGATCGTAATCGAGAGCCAGCTCACGATACTTCTTCTCCTCCCTTTCTTTCATCCATCTTAGAACTTCCAGTCGTTCTTCATCTAGCGCTGATGCCAGTGAATTACCACCATATGCCTTCGAGGTCATTAATAACAATGCAATTGTACACTAAAATTAGTTAAGAATTGTCATAAAACAGCATGTAAACTTTTGTAAATGGTAAATATTAAACTCGGTAGATTTGCTCACTTATGTAAGGAGATTGTGTTGTATTTTAACGCAGTGCACTCAGTATCATTATTTAAGAAATGCCAGAATCAAGCCATAATGGAAAGAAAGCATTAGGTTTAAAGAAACGAGTTTGATATATTTGATTAGAGAATTATCATTCGTCTTTCAGCTGGAAGCTTTTCTGTGACGATTAGTAAATACTTTACTATTCATACGTTCCGTGAATCGATTCAATCGAACGAGAAACGACTTACAGACGACGCTTCTTGAATAGTATCATCGCTTTTCTTTTCTTACTTGTAGACTTTTTTTCTTTGATTAGACAGCAAAGAAGGATTCGTTATAGGTTGGTTTGTTTCAACACTTTGGTTACTGAAATAAAACACTTGGCCTGAGGATATAAGAAACATAGAAAGTATGTTTCACGTGCAGTAAAACCTTTGCTGTGTCGATAACAGTTCCTTGGAGCAACAGGCTGTAAACCATCAAGTTATACAAAATGCAAGCAGCCCATGTTTATTATTTTCAGTTTTAGGTCTTATTTCTTGTCGTAACTTCGCTCAAGCAAGTTTCATCCTTAACATAATTTAGTTCATGTTATGTGTTTGAAATTTTAAAAACGTAAATGATGGCGTAGGGAAGAGTGAAATACTTGATGGTTAATCCCACTCTTATTTGCAAACTCGCACCGGAATCGATGTCTTTTGTATTCATCATAAAAAGAAAAGATAAAATACCAAAAATATTCCATTCATCAAATAAAATAAGTAGCATGTAGCACTGCACACCTCAAAGTCAGATGTGCCGAGCTGTCTTGATAAGATGGGAGAATTAAAAGGAAACTTTGTCGAGATTCCACATATCTACATAGAATTACTTTCGTGGAGTAGTGCGCAAGAAGGAACGTTGGATGTATGCTTTCTGGTCACGAAGCCAACGGCGATAATCCTGATATTGTTAGTGAGTTCATTTATAGATAAAGGAATCATCTCGTCTTTTTATACATACCGACAACGAGAAAATCTTTTCTCCATAATAATCTGTCAACATATTTCGTTAGCCAAATACATCTCGTTTCTTATCACCGAGAGCACAGCACATACCTGGGATAGGGTTGGAATAGCTTTCCATTGAAGGAATTACACGATTCTTCTTCAAGTGCTTGTAGAATTCCTCTTCACGCTATAATAAAACGACCGTTAGCAAAGGCCCTCTGTTTATCTCAAAATCTTTTCACATACGCATGCAATCTGATCTGCTTGTTTCCGATTGATCAATGTCCAAACCTGTCGTCCTATAGAAGGTCCTATCAACCAGCCAAGAGCACCAGAAGCGATCGTAGCTAAGACATAAATCGTAAACATATCCAATCCCATCATTGTTACAGTAGGATCAACGGCGCGCGTCATAAAATATGAGGACCCCACTCCAAGGCCAAGCGCAGCTGTAGGAATGGAAGTAAAAGTTTCAAAGCGACGTCGACTTTTTCTTAGTTTGAGGAATGTAGGCCAATTCAATGTCGGCGTCTTTGGAAGTTCCCTTTCTGAAGTGTACATTCGAACATTCTTCACACAGCGGAAAAAGGAAGGAAGGACTTTGGCATTTCCCATACCCAATCGATTTAATCCGCTTCCTAGAACCGAATACATAATTCTTCAACTTATTTGGTAGTAAACAGGGAAAACGCGCTCTTTTGCTTGTTCATCTCTGCTCCCATTTACCGAACTGCATAATCGTAAAAAGGGTATGCGTTCAACCTCACTATTTCGTCTATGTCAGAAAGGAAGCTATGTATAAAAGCTTCCTGCAAATGCAACATTAGTAGCCATTGTTGGTGATACTTGTGTATTTCTTGGATTTTATTCAATTTTTAGAACGATCTAGAGAATATAATTGACTTATTTTGTTGTTATTGGTGATTGATAATACTTTGCACGTTTAAAAAAAAACATGTCTACTAATGTTGGAGCAACGGATTCAATGTCCATAGAAGAGACGAATAAACTTCGTGTTTCACTAGGTTTAAAACCCTTGGACGTATCAGGTGATTCTCGACCGAGTGAACCGGATAAAAAGGAACAAGCCGGCTCTTCGCTTGACCAAGAGGCCATAGCTCTTCAGAATTGGAAGGAAGAAGAAGAGAAAAAGAGCAATGAAAGAAAACAACAGGAATTTACATCTAGAATTCAAAGTATACGAGAAAAGAATGATCAGCGACGTCGCGTGCAAGGAAAATCTTTGGCTGATATTCTCGCTACAGAAGAAGAAGAAGAAGCACAATCAGACGATACTCGCTCTTGGGTCCTAAAGATGAGAGCAAAAGCATTAGAGAAGCGCACGAGCGAAAGCTCTGGACCCAAAGAAACACCGAGGCCAGTCAAAAAGAAACCCACAAAGGAACTCCCCAACGGACCAGACACTTCATTAGAAGGAATGCGCATAGCTCATGAACTTCAGAAATTGAATTCTGAGAACGGTTTAACATTAACGCTTCGCGATTCCGACATTTTGGAAAGCAATGATGGGGATTTATTAGAAAGCAATGAGATTGCCCAACAAGAGGCCCTTTCCAAAAAGTTAGAAGAACAAAAGGCGAATGCCGGGTATAAGCCTTATGAAGACGAAGAAGAAGTTTATAACGATTCTGCACCAAAGAAAGATGGAACAGAAGGAATAACTATTATCGGAGAGAACAATGCTTTATTTCAAGGAAAAGATGCAAGAGAGGAGGAAAGTTCGGTCCCAAATCGAGGCATTCGAATTTCGCTTTCAGAAACTACTTCTTCAATTCCTGAAGTTTCAGACTATCGGGATATCAAGATAAAAAAAAGTAAGAAAAACCGATCTAGAGAAGATAGAAGGAAGCGGAAATTTGACGACCTTAATGATGATGAATTTCAGTCAACCACCACAACAGAAGACAATGTATCTGAAGCGCAAAATTCAACCTTCACTGCTCAAGAAAAACAGGAGAATATTAAGAAAAAGATTCAAGGATTGAATAGTCAGTCAGTCGTTGAAGATGATGATTTACAAGAAGTTTTGGCTTTACAAAGAAGAACTGCTCAAAAAAGGGCAAGGAGCTTACGACCTGAACAAATTGCAGAGCATGTTCAAAACCAAAACAATGTAGAAGAGGAGGAAAAGGAAGATGAGAATGATACTAGAGGAATGATAATTGATGATACTCGCTCTTTCGTTGATTCTCTTCAGCAAGTAAATGATACAGAGTCTTCTGTCTCACTTAAAGAGAAGGAAAGCGAACAAATTTCTGAGAATCCATATACTGTCACGATCCCAACAAATGTTGAATCCAGCAATGATATCCCTGTACAAGAGGAACCCATTGTACAAAATACTGAACCCCAGTCAACAACGGATAAGGTAACTGACGTTCTCGAAGATGAACCGCTTGTTTCTGGTGGTGTTGGCACGGTGTTGAATATCCTCAAAAACAAAGGTGTCGTTAAGGTTTCTGCAGAAGCTCAAGAAAAGATTCGCAAAGAAGATGAATATAACAGATGGTTTGCGAAAAAACAGAGTGCACGACGGAAGCTTGAAGAACAACGAAGGCTTCAGAAAGAGCAAGATCGTGCTAGTGGAAAATTGAACCATATGACTCAAAAAGAGCGTGAACAGTATGCCAAACGAGAGAATGAAAAATGGGATCGTCTAATTGCCAAGGTTGAAATGGAGCAGTTCCAAGACTACAAACCTCAGGTGAACATTCGCTACGTTGACGAATTTGGAGTTGAATTGGGACCAAAGGAGGCATACAAATACTTATTATCTCATCAGTTCCATGGAAAAGGATCTGGAAAAGCAAAGACTGAAAAGCGGTTACGAAAGATTGAAGACATGAAAAAACAAGAGAGAAAGCCGATATTTGAATGATGAAGGACATGGTTTTATGTATATGTAATTTAATTATATGTAGTAATCAATAAATGTCATCATCAGAGGTTGTATTTTTTCGTCACTTCTAGCGGTAGGCAAAATCGTGCGTCTACTGGTTTCAAATCTGGGTATTGTAATAAGGACAAGGCGGTTAAGGAAAAGCATGTGTGATACACATCTGGAACGTCTTCTCTACGATCAGAAAACCCACCTGTCTCTTGATCTTGAGCACTTAGAATAAAACGTATTAAGTCATTTCTGTCTATCCACTCAAGCTTTTTAATGATCGCCAATGGGGATAACACCCACCATCCATAACAAGTCTAAAAGTTAACGAGTGAAAAGTAAAAGTGAAAGCTTTCACACTTACATCTGGGAGCTTTTCAGGACGACCATTCAGCCCTCCATTTTTCGTTTGTCGTTCACTGAGCCACCAGCCCAGTAAGTCTTGGTCAATTCTGTCTAGTTGCTCCAATATAGCAAGAGAAGCTACACATGTAAAAACTGAAGAGAAGTTAGAATATGACAAGAAACTTCAGGTAATTTGAAGATAATGATTATACCATAAGCAGCATGTGTTTCAGCTCCAGGGCATAGACCAAAACCACCGTCAAAGTTGCGGCACTTGAGAATCCAATCGACTGCGGCTGACTGGTTCAACATATCTAGTCGACCTAGAAGTGCCAAACAATTAATGCCAGCGTAAAGAAAACGAGCATCGGTTTCGCCCCATCGGTCACCTTTCATAGATCCGTCTTCATTTTGCAAGCTAACAATATCTTTTAAAAAGCAGGTTAGATATCTACCAAAAAAGATTATCCGTACAAGAAGCTACTTTTTCCTTATTGATTCTGTCTAGTGAATCCAGCATCAACAAAACCTGAATAGCATAAACAGTATTGGTAATATGATCATCATGTCCAGGATAGCAAGCAAACCCTCCTGAAAATTCTCAATTAGTACACGATCACTATAAAAATGCTAAAAAAAGTGATCAACGAACCTGACTCTGTAAGACATGATTGCAGGAACAAAACAATTTGCTCTTTGTTTAATTCTTCTTTCTTATTCAACATCCAGTAGCTCATGCAGCTCCAATAAATAGCACTAACGTGTAAATGTTCTTTCAACCAAAAGTCTAGTTCATCCTGGCGCTACGTCGTGAAACGTGTAAGCACGATACATTTTCTTCATTTTACTTTCGTACCTGGCCCAATTCATTCAAATAATTTAAATGCTTGACTCGTTCCAAATCCATACTCATGGCGAATGATGGTTATAAGGGTGAGTGTTGAACCCAACATAAAAGAAGCGTGTGTGCTCTGTTTCGACATTTTAATATTGGTGCCTTTATGAATTTCATCTTATAAAGCTTCTTAAAAGGAAACACCTGTTCATTAAATCTTTTATTTTCCATTTCCAGAGAGCATCAAGGAGAATCGATCATTTCAATGAAGCATCAAACAGCAAGAATCTACTAACTTTTTCCTATTTGTCCAGGATTCTCCACACTTCATCTTAGCTTACATAGAATTGATTTGATTCAAAGAATTGTTAAATGTCGACTGCTTTTTCTTTCTTTCTTTTTATAACTTTATTGACTTGCCTTTTCGGTCTCACTTTAGGAAACACTGAAATTATTAATTTTAAATCAATACATGTGTACGACAGGAATGGAAGTTGTCAACTTAGGATTCCAGATACAGTGTCGCAATCATTAATATTACAACCATATCCTATAGACCCCGAAAAAGGCATTTCCGAATCTGCGTCCAGAGTTGCATTGCATGCCTGCGGCTTAAAAGAGAATACCTGGTATCAGCTGAGAGCCTCTTGGCCAGCGGTAGTACGTTGAACGCACTTTTCTATTTTCTTCTAACATTTTAGTATCCTTCTGAAATAGACCTTGCTTGGAATGGTACCCATGCACTTGTGCGTCTTTACGCTTCATTCTATTCTGTCGATGATTCTCTCATGAATCATCCACCTCCTGTTCCGATCCAAATTGGTAAGCGGCTTCTGTTTCTTAGTCTTAAGGCACCATACTCATCATCTTATTTAGATCTGGAGCCATTAACATTGGGATTTTTACCCAGCAGTCTTAAACCCATCGTTGCTGTAATAGCAGTAATAATTATCTCTAGCATCCCTTTTGCTTTTTTAATTTTACGAAAACAGAAGCTGGATTAATATACATGCTCGATTTTAACATCAGCTTACATCTTCCTCAAAACTATACCTATAACACCTAAACGAATTTTCAAAGTCTATTAATTCTAAAAGTTCTAAAAACATTATGTCTAAATTATTATGATTACTTCCTTTCCATAGCACAACAAAAAAATAAAAACAAATGAGAACCAGACAAACAAAAATTGTCAGTCTCCCGGCATGACCGAACTAGCATTGAAAATAACGTTTAAATTGCGGTTCATCAATTATCTCTGCTTTAATTACATGAAAACAATGCAAAAGTAACGACGGAAACTTTTCCGTAAAGTATGCAGTAAAACCATCAGGAACGCTTCCCAATATAGCACGCACATTCTCTGGTAAATCCTGATAGTGATGCCTCTATATTTTCAGTTAGAATCCATATCCTGTCGCTTGTAATGTTCATACTCACCTTATTTCTTAAAACTCGAAGTATATCTAAAACCTTAGAACCATCGTATTTTCGATACCTTCCAAGATTGTCTATTAGTGAGCTGTGTAAATCGGCCATCCAATTTTCACCAACAACTAATTGTGCATTATTCTCTAAACACTGAAGCAAGGGCGAAGGGGGATCACGCTCTTCCACTTCGAACCTATCAGATACGTCGATTAAGAAATCGAGTTTTTTGGCGTAATCCCAGAAAAACGGATGGTTAATTATACTCTCTATGGATGGACGGTCCTTAGGGCTAAAACTAATCATCTCAGATATTAAGTCAATAGCCAAAGCTCCATATTCACCCATCAAGTCAAGTTCCTCAAGATTAAATTCCCCTTTTAGTATATTAGATTCGCATTCATATTGATTCCCAAACGGATGTTTGCCACCGGAAAGAGTGAAATAAAAAATACATCCTAAAGCGAAAATATCAGTTGCATGGCTTGCTTGACGAATCTTCCCTTCTTGACTCGTACAGCGAAATTCATTGGCTTCTTTTGATATTAAACCTCGAAGAATCTCCTGAGAACGCCATCCATAAGAGCCTGCAGTCTCAAAAGTGGAAGTATGAAATGTACTTTGATTGATATTCACTTTCTTACTTAATCCAAAATCAGATATTAAAGGTTTGATAATGAAATTGGAGTTGTTTGCAACCTTTCGGGAGAGTAAAATATTCTGCGGCTTCAAATCACGATGAACTAAATCTAGGCTGTGAAGGTGTCTCAATCCCAGTGCGATTTGGTACAACAAACCAATCCTGTCTATTCCCTGTACCATATCATGGTAAATCAGAGGATGCTCTATCAAATCAGCTAAAGTGCATTCACCTAATTCGACAACAACATAAAGGAATCTATCACTTTGTTGTCTGCAATAGTAGCGAACAATGTTTGGATGATCGTCACTTTTTTGAAGAAGCTGAATCTCTCTTGTAGCCAACTCATAGAAATCCAAAAGAATACGTTTCACAGCGACATCTCTATCTTCGTATTTTCCTCGATATACAATAGTACCATGGCTCCCATACCCAAGTATTTCGGGGAAAATAGTTAAAGAATTCATAGTCAAAGAGCCGTCAGCATTTTCACTCGTAGTGTTCTGGATAACAGGCCTTATGTTACCGACTGTGTCAGTTTCCTTGTCATTATCAGTTTGTACCATTACTGTTTCTTGGTCGAGTGCATCTGGCACGTTTCCACGTTCATGTTCATCACTAATCCTTTTCTTTTTTCGGTTTCTGCGACGTCGTTTAGCTATACCAGCCTTTGTCACATCTATTATACCATTATTAGAAGTTTCCGCTGCGGCAGCCTTAGTTCCAAAATTTTGCTTCCGTGAAACAAAAATTAAGAGGCTAGCTGTCAGAGAAATGCCAAGAAAAATGAACCAGAGCAATTTAGATTTGGAAGCCGAATCACTGTCACTCGCATCCAACAAAGGAATTTTACTTTGAGAGGGAGGAACCAATTTATCAGATCCTGCTCCCTCTAAATGGTATTCAGGGAAACAATCAGTTGGTAAAGAAAGTAAAGGAATTTCCGTAGTTTTAAGTGGATGTAATCCCATGATACTGCTAATGGGTACATGTAATCCCTGGTACAAATAACACGCGGCATTTGGAACTGCAGAAACAAGAGGAAATTGCTTTGTTGACATAGCGTACCAATTGTAATTAGAAAGAGTGTTAAGATAAACGCTTTCAGAATCGTTTGAAAATAAATTTGGAAACATATTATGAATAAATACATCAATTGGTTGATGAAGCAACAATGAATTAGGAGAACGATCGCATTTATCTCCGTATGCTTCTGGAAATGATACAACATCGAAGACGGAAGTAGCGGGAAGAGCGAGATTAACAGTTTGAATAACACGTTTTCTTTTCAAATCTAAAACGATTAAATTATTATCGGCATTAGGAAACGCCAATTTGGAATCTAAAGGGGCTGAGTAAGAAGAACTGTGAATTAAGTCACTCTTGCTAGGACTCCATTCAGAAAAAACAATATCCAAAAGAAGAGAAGAATCCTGATAAATGCTAACGGTATATTCAGTTCTGGCAATATCTATAATTGCTTTGCCTGACCGTGGCGCTTCTCGCTGATTTTCATCTAACATGTCCAAATCATCAGCTGCTTTATTATTGGTGTTCGTCTGAAAAAATTCAGCGTCTCCTTTGCCTCCTAAGTCTTCTAATTTGAGCAAACGATTTGGAATAGATGCATCATATGAAGATGCAACGGTAGAAGTAGCGGAATCAGTAGTCAGGGCACTTCCCCTGGAATCATATTGAGAAAGAACCTTTCCACTTAAAGCATCTATCGTAAACAATGTTGTTTTCTTACTTCCAACAAAGATGTTGTTATCCAGTAGGCGTACGGGAGATGCACTGACCAGATTACGAAGACTATGAGGAAGTCGAACCAAACCAGTCTTGGTGTTAAAAGCATATAAGATTCCCCCTAATTTAGGTTCCACAAACCATAGTGTATCATTACTAGAGACATACGAAGCTGTTTGTGGAGCTCTTAAAGACTTATCGCCAGATAATGATTTAAGAGATGATGGAGCCAGTTGCCTTATCTCGTTTCTTGGAAGAACCGGAAAGCCAAACTTAATGGCTTCATCTTCTTGAAGACCGGAAATATTTTCAGTCTCTCCGAGTGACCATAACCTATGGCCAGATGACCGATCGTAGCCGTGCAAAAGGCCATCGATGGTAGAAACAAGGAAGACGTTATGTAATTTTGCCTCCGCAAAGCTTTTAGAGACATCTAAAGACGGTGAAAGGGATTGTCTATTGTCATAATCTTGCGGTAAGCTCGGGGAAGATAACAGTATTAAATCATTAGCAGAATTATGAGGCTTGGGATTCGACAATGAATGACAGATCTGAATGCTAGAAATAAAAAAAAGCACAATAAAAGGTATAGAAAAGAAGAAACCTGATCTCATAAGTAGCCAATGTAAGCTGATGAAAGTACTTCTTTTTGAATCTGAAAATTCGCTTCTTTCTTGAAACGAAGCTATAGACAATTCCTTTAAATTACAAATAACTCATTGCTTTTTCAGCTAACATATATTTATACAGGATAGAGGCAATTCTACTCGGAATGTTAAAGCGTGGTTGTTGTCGAAAGCCAAGTTTGGATAGGAAATATACTGGGAGACAAACTACGTACCAGCCTCGAATGTTCGCGATCCTTTTGACATTTACAAAAATGACCATTCATCTTTAGAACATAACAATAAAACCACACATAGGACTTCCAAAATTGGCTGTAGGATGAAAGAAAGGTGCTTTAACCAGCGTATACAATTGCAAACGACAAATCGTTCGAGGATGATGAGATTCGAAATCTGAATTCTTTTCTTCTTACTTTTAAGTTTCGTTTATTATTTTTATTGTTTAATTATAGATAATCATTATTTTTCTCATACATGTTCAACTTCACAATTGCCATCGTTTGTTTACTAATGAATGATAGAAATCCTCACTCATTTTCGCAAAAAATTATTCCGTAACTTTCTTTCGAACTTTGACAATGCACTCAACTTCATTATTGTGCTTTAACACCGTAAACAAACACAAAACTCACCACCATATATTCCGAGAAACTTGTCGTCTGAATGACTTTAAAGTACTCAATCAATTTTTTTTTCCTTCACTATTTGTAAGATGTCTCGTAAGTAACATTGAAAATATAAAAAACAACCCGGTAAGAAATCCATGCCGAAGCCTTCTTTGTCCCAGGTTCCTTCCTTCATAACCAACATAACATGATACATCGCTTCTTTTATTAATACTATCATGTTTCTTTGCTTTTAATTCATCCACTTTGCTGCATTTTGCTATAGAACGACTTTAGCGTTTCAGGTTGAAAGGACGTAATGTCTTCCTTTTCTGTGAGGGAAGTGAGGGCGAAAGGGTGAAGGTTTGATTGGATTCAAGGAGTTGGTTGGTTTTACCCTTTTAGTTTTGTATCATCTGCTAATGCTTCTTTTTCTCTCTACAGGTGGTAACCAACGTGAAGTCGATCGTGTTCGTAATGCAAAAAAGCAACAAGCTGCTAAAAAGAAGCAAGACGGGAATCCCGCTAAGCGTCTGGAAGCGTAAGTGTTGGTTATCTACCGGGTTTTATGTGGAATTCTTCGTCAATGAATTGCATAAAATTAACACTTGTTAGTCAGGCTGAAATCATGAGAGCAAAACAACGTGCTGCTGATGAGCGGAAGGCAGCTTCTTCTTCTAAAAAGGTACGTTTCGAAGTACTCAATTTTAGTTCTTTTCCTAACCTTAGCGTTATAGTAAATTCCTAGAACAAACGTTCCTAGATTAAATGAATTTTGTGAAATTAATAGATCGTTTCAACCTATGAAATCTACCTCTTTTACTTGAAGTATGTCTTATATTTTCATAGGTTAATTCGTAAAAAATTTGTTGCTTCGTATTTCTCGTGTACATTAATATTATAAACACTGAACTCTCCGTCACCGAAAACAGATGTCAAATAGTAAATTCTAAAGAGCTTACGTAAATAGTATTGACTATACAAAAACAGTAAACATTTTTTTCAAAAGATACATTGCTTTCAGCATCAATGTAAAACAGCTAGTTAACTAAAAATCATCTATAATATGACAATAAACAAGAAAAGCCTGTCTCTTAAACACACAAGTAAACTAACCAAACATTAAAAATTTATATCCACCATTAACAAATCACGCTAGAGGGTATATATGCAACAAAAACAGACCAAAGGAAATCGGAGTATGACCTAAACAACTATGTACCAATTTCATGGGATATAACCTTCATGATATCCCCAGAACCTTGCCTATTCCATAGACAAGCCAATTTACCTAAGGAAGTGACGGACTTGTGACACCTGAATAGCTAAATAACCAACACTTTTGCTTGCATACAAATAATAAATATTAAATCCCTTCGCCACTACGAAGGGCAATTAATGCAAACGCTGGATAAACCATCATATTTTAAGGAATATTAAAATGAATTCACTTACAAGCTGAGAGCAGCACCGAGGAGGGTAACGATACCAACGATACCAGCAGAGAAGGCAACAGTGGAAGCACCAGAATCGGAAGAAGCGGACTTTCCATGAGAGTCGGAAGAGCCGGAATAGCTCATAGAAGAGGAAGTGGCAGAAGCAGAGGAGTCACTAGATCCAGTGGCAGTGGCGGAGACTTCAGAAGATTTGGCCATGCTAGAAACTTCGCCCTTGCAAGTCCAGTCATTACCCTTAATAACGCCGTCGCTCTTGCTGAAGGGGCAGGTGAAGTTGCTGGACTTAGATTCAAGAAGCAAACTACCACGAACATCAGTAAGCTTGGGAAGGTCAACATAGGAGTAGTTACCGAGCATGGTAAGACCACCACCGACTTCGTTAAGCTTAGGGAAACCAGAGATCTTAGCCAAGTCTGTGTTGTTGATGGTCAAACTACCACCAACAGTAGTCAAGTTGGGAAGACTCAAGCTATTAAGATCTTGGGAATCCATAAAGTAGAGAGATTCGCTAACGGAGGTGAGGTAGGGAAGAGAGACATTGTTAAGGGTGGTGTCGGTGAAACCAAGACTGCCCTTAGCAGACTTCAAGTTACCGACGAAAACGTTGCTGATTCCATTAAAGTTAGTATCGCCGCTAACGTTGGCGAGCTTGCTAAAGTTAACGTCAACCTTTCTAGCGTTGGAAGCGATGTTGATGGACTGGGCAGTTTCCAATTGGGGCATATCAATAGATTCAATATACTTGTTGTTATTGATGTTGAAGGATTTAACACTGGTGACATCAATACCCTGGATATCCTCGAGGTTAGTGTCGACGATTTGGACATCACCGGCCTTCTTGATACCACTATTAAATTGGAGATGTTGCAAAGCGGGCAAGACCATGAGATCCAAGGAGCCAACGTCAGTGAGTTTAGGAGCGGGAAGCGAGTTCAAACGAGTATTATCGTGAATGCTGAACTTACCAGAAACGGTCTCAAGGTCCTGGAAGTTGACGGTTTGCAAGTATTGGCTGTGGGAAACTTCGACATCTCCAGTGATCACCTTAACACCATCAATGTTAAGGACAGTGACACCACTGTTTTGCAAGTTGTTAACGTACAAGCTGCCATCCAACTTGCTGCAGCTGCTGATGTTATCGAGGTCACTTTGAGCAGTAACGTTTTTATCGCCAGAGCACTTGTTGTCGTCGGCTAGGACGCGAGAAGCGAGGAAAAGAAGAGAAAGAGAAAGAGACTTGAAAAACAACATGATGAATCAGATGCTTAAGATAATGAAAAGAAAGAAAAACTCAAAAATAATATCGAAAATTAAGAAAAATGCAAAAGACTTGGTCTTAAATGAACGATGCAAAAAAGAACAATGAATATAAAAGATGAGAAGGTCTTCAAAAGAATGTCCAACTGAAAAAAATATAAAAGAAATGAAAGACCTAAGGGTCAAAGAAGCGATGAAAGCAAATAAAAGAGCTTAAAATTCAAGAAGAACTTGAATATAGTGAGAAGTGGTTCGCTTTGGTCTGATCTCTTAGTATAGGAAATCGTGCCTTATATAGTAGAAAAAGCCGGGTTTTCCGTGACTTTCCTCAAGCCACGTGAACAAGCACAACCGTTGCAATGTTTACAGTTAACAAGATACAACCAGCCAACTCGTTGCCCGAGCGATGAATGAAAGTAGGTACGAGAACGTGAGCAACGCGGCTCCTGATTGGCTTAACCCCTACTGATAGCAAAGCAAACGGGCCCTTAAGGTCTGGGTTGCTAGGGTAACGAGATATTGTATTCATGTAAACAAACGTGCTATTAAACAAACAAAAGGCTTGTTTATAAAGCTGGCACAGAAATGCAATAGACAATTGCGTTTGTCTAGTCATAATATGCAAGCCATTTTAGAGGTTTGTGGACAATTGTAGATGGCTGAACCGTTGGTTTCCCGTGAAAAAAGTCATGAACGCTGATAAAATGAGGCTGACTTTTCACATCCGTCGTCTCCTACCAGCACTGAAACCCCTGTACCCATCTATGTGTTCAGTTATTCCTGCCTGATATGATGTGCAAGAGTCAAAAACAAAAAAAAACAAAAAAATCAAACAACAGTCTGAGTTCTGTTTACAGAAAGTAGCAATTGGACATTGGTAGATTGTCTTCTAAACTCGAGAAAGTCTGGTTTCGTTTTTGCTCGTTCTACGCGGTATAAACATAAACAAATAAATCAAGCAGGACGGACGGGACGGGACGAGACTGAACTGGGTGGTGCTTCGGGAACATGCTGATAAAGTTTGAGTTATCTCGAAGAGATTGACGATTGGCCTTTTAAATTTCTTTGCGACATATTACTAGATTAGACATGGAAGTTTTCTATATTATTATACATAATAAGGATTATTATAGAGTCTGGAAACAAGTAACCCAAGCAATATAAACAAAAGCAAGAAGCATAACTAAAAGAAGAAACAAAAAGACAAAAGGAAAGCATTCATAGAAGGGATTGTTCATAGAAGGGATTGATTTAGAAATGATACCGAAGAAAAGAACACCAAAAATAGAATCTAACAGACTCATCTGACGTTCTTTCCATTGTTTCTCAGCAGCCGATTTAGGATTCCTGGTTTTATCGAGGACTAGCCAGTAGAATAATTCCTGCTAAAAAAGTCGTCTTTTGAATGTGATTTAGTTATTAGTTGTCAAAAAGAGTGTTGTGGCAATGTTTTCTACAGATTAACAGAATGAAAAGGGAAACAAGAATTTTCGATACTTTGTATTTAATTTTTGTCGCTATGTTTTAAATTTGAATTTTGTTTATGCTTTCCTTTCCGTAACTGGATTCAATTCAATAGGAAAAGTCCCTTTCCTCTACCCATCTCGCTAACCACTTAAGGTTAGAAAAGGTAAATTAAGCGATATGAAAGATCAACACTACACTGACTGCCAGTATTGAGTTTTCTTGAAAAAAAAAAAAACACTCCATTTGTATCAAAGGCGGTACACCATGTCAGAAAATATGCAGATTGATCATCCAGAGGATATGTCGCAAAACGAGACTCCCCGTTTTGATATAAAAAAGGTATGTGGCTTACGATTGATTTTGTAGTTTTATGTCCAAGGCTTGTTATTCACTAGCTTACTCTGTGAAATGTTTTGTGATACTCTCTTTTTCTTTAATGTTTTGCTTTATTTTCGTTTGTGAGGAATCTATAACTTACTTTTTCGTTAGTGGAACGCAGTTGCTTTATGGCAGTGGGACATTGTCGTAGATAACTGTGCTATTTGCAGAAATCACATTATGGACCTTTGCATCGAATGTCAAGCAAATCCTGATTCGGCTGCTGCTCAAGAATGTACCGTTGCCTGGGGTACTTGTAATGTACGGCACAAAACAGTGTTTATTTATTCTCTTCAATTACTGACCCATCCTTTTCAGCATGCTTTCCATTTCCATTGTATTTCCCGGTGGCTGAATACAAGAAACGTTTGTCCTCTTGACAATCGTGAATGGGAATTTCAGCGTTATGGTATGGACTACAAACCCTGAAAAGGGAGTTTATCTTTCTTTTTTACTTACATCCTACTAACCGTTCTTTTTCGTAGGCCATTAATCGTAAGCTTATAAAATAAAAGATTCCGTATTTTTTATTCTCTTTCTCATTGTCTAACTGCTTCCTCTTGTTCAATCTTTCCGTGAACGGCAGTTTAACATCTTACATTGGAGAACGGTTTTTTTATTATGAATTTCAATTGATGAATGTACGGTAAAGACGATAGTCATGATACTTTTTCTCCTTTGTTATACTCGAAGCAGCATCACCGCTTTTACGACTCGCTGTGTAGAAGCATAAGTTTATCAGAGGAACTATCTTAAAGTAGTGATACTCTCTAATTTTGCTTTCATTTTCATTCGAATCTAAAAGCTAGTGTATAGCCAATTCAAATTTATATGTTATGTCTCACACATTTTCGTACAGCAAAAATGTTACAAAAGAAGCATCTCTTCAAAGAGTTAGCTAATCTCGTCATCCGCTTTTAATTTCAAGCTCACAAATTTGGCCGGTAGCGTTCATCCTCTTATGAAAAGAATGAACCATTCATGAAATCAGATAAGTAGGCTCTCATTTTCCATTCCTTTACAACCCGGCCAGTTAAATAAGCATATAATAAAAAATCGAACTCACATTTGCGGTCCGTATTTTAACCAGTGCTATAGATTACTTTATGCAGGCAGCCAGACTTGCACCTTTTGCAAAGTTATTTGACATCCACTGAACAAACAGAATTTAAATTTCTTTAAACTATTATTTATCAGAGCTCATTAACAAGGATCCTTTTAGTTCCCTTTTTCCAGGTAAAGTATGAGATTCCTAGTGAAGAAAAACTGGATACTTGATTTGGCTTTGCTGTTTCTGCATGAATATTCAAGGATTGACAAAAGACTACCAAGTAGTAGGATTTATATCCTCCGGAACTTACGGAAAAGTTTACAAGGCTATTTCAACAAATAAAAATGAAAAGCGCTATTTTGCTATAAAAAAATTCAAGGCTGAAGCAAGGAATGCGGCTCCAAATGCGCAACAAACGGGCATCTCTCAAAGCACCATACGAGAAATGATGCTTTGTAGAGAAATCCAACATGAAAATGTTGTGAAGTTGATTCAAATATTACTGAAAGACGGGACCATTAGTATGGTTTTCGAATACGCTGAGCATGATCTATTGCAATTAATCCACTTTCATGGCCGAACAAGAACGAGAAAAATACCCCCATTTATAATAAAAAGTATCTTGTGGCAGTTGCTCAATGGTCTTGCCTACCTTCATGAAAACTGGGTTATACATCGCGATTTAAAGCCTGCCAACATCATGATAACGGCAGCTGGAAAGGTTAAAATTGGTGACTTAGGGCTTGGTAGACTAATCCGTGACCCTTTACTTCCATTCTACTCTAGTGATCGTGTCGTCGTTACTATATGGTATCGTGCGCCTGAATTATTATTAGGGGCTCGAGACTATACGCCAGCTATAGACATATGGGCAATTGGCTGTATTTATGGAGAGATACTCGCTTTAACTCCTTTGTTTAAAGGTGAAGTGAAAATGGAATCCAAAAAAGTGATTCCGTTTCAACGCACACAAATGCTACGGATAATGGAGATATTAGGTACGCCTACTGTAGAAAGGTGGCCAGATTTAAAAGATTATCCTGACTATGATCAATTGTCGACATTTGAAGTAAAGTATTGGAATAATCTGCTTCCCCAGTGGTATCGCACAGACAAAACTAGAGATCCAAAAGGTCTCGATTTGCTTATGAAGCTACTTGTTTACGATCCTAAAAAACGAATAACTGCTAAAGAGGCAATTCAGCATCCTTTTTTTACAGAGGACTCCAACTGGAGTACCACGTAAGTATTTTCGTTACCGAGATTTTTCTCTATATGGTTTTATTTTTTCTCTTTTCTATTTTTTCAACTAACATATATAGGCCTTTCTCCGATCATGGCGTCCAGTATCCAGAACGAAGGATATTGCCGGATGATTCGGATCTTCCACCTGGTAAACGACCGCTGACTTCTACCATGCGTCAAGAACCGAAACGCTTTAAAGGAAATTAAAACTATACAATCTTCGTTAAAGGTTTCATACACGGCGAACTAGCGAACTGACATAATTTCAAGTGTCTGAATTGTCGGACGCTCAGAATGAATCAGGCCTAATTGAAGATTAAACAAATAGAAGCTCAAAGAGTTTTTTAATTACAAAGAGATGAGGCTTCAAATCCCTTTTTGACGTTTTTGAAACAGCTTCTCGATCTCTCCTTCTAACTCTGTATTTGAACTATTTGCTTGGCTACCAGCGTTCCATAGACATGTTCCCAGTAGAATGGAAGGCGAAATCGTTTCTGGAAATTGGTCTCTATTATCAAAAAAAAGAATTTGATTTGAATACACAGTTTCAAAATGCTCTACAGCTGATGGATTTTGCAGATCACACTGATGAGGTAAAAAATCATTGAAACGAAATTTTGTCTAATCTGTTAGCCTGTCTTATTAGTTATTGCAGACTATTTAATTTGGTTCATCTATCAAAATATCCCTTTGAAAGAAAATCCATTTCTGGCCCATTTTTTTCATACTTGGGCGCATACATCTTGCCTTGGCCGACAATACCTCTTAGCTAACATATTATCCGGCAGAATCCAGCAAACTGTAAGTATGATTCCTTTGGCTATATCTTCATATGACTCTTAAGTGGTAGTCATTCTTTTACTCTACTCATGATCTTAACTGCTGGTTATTAACCACTTTTAAAGAGCTCTGATTTGGTGAGCATTCTCACAATCTCTCCATTAGAACTTGTTTGTTCAACGACAAAAGAAGATGTTTTAGCAGAAAACTCCTTTATTGATCAGAATGATTTACGACAGTGGTTGGAACAACAAGAATTGTTGCCTGAAAAAGCATCCTCTAATTCAAATACTACAATATGGTTAACCGGAACAGAACGTGCCCTAACTACAGAGGAAGTGGTAAGATTGATGAAACCGACTGCTTATTAACTTTTAATCAGCGAAGTTTTTTGGAAAATCAACCACGTTTTTCTGAAAAGGATGTACCTACAGTTAAACAAATAGAGACGTTTATCTTACTAAATTTGCCTTTTGCTCCTGAAATCTTTTCTGATTTGCTTAATCATTCTGAAGCAAATTTTAATCAAAGATTTGTCAAGAACCTTACATCTCTTTCGATAACAGTATCCAACATAGAAGTCTTGATTCTGATGTTGCTACACGATCCTTCTTTGGTATCATATATGACTGGTTCCGGTACTTTTATGTACGAACTTTTGTCGTCATTCACTTCTCAGATCTCCAACTCTAATCTATTCGAAAAAGATCGAATGGCTCATATAGGAACAAGTTTTTTCATAAAAGTCCTTGATGTACCTTTCATAAAAAATATACTGGTGTATGACTTGTATTTTGACTTACAATCATTCTGCATGGCCGCTGTACCTCAGTCGGCTATATTATATCAGAAGCTAAAAGTCATTAGGTCTACATAAAAGTTACGAATTTATATTGGCAAAATCGTTTACGAAATTTAAATAGAGATATATCCATATAGCATTAATTTAATCTATTGTCTAACCCTAACCAAATTTAAACCAAAAAAATTGAGTGCTTTTATCCTTGCTTTCCATTTATATGCTATAAGCACACTGAGTGGATAACAAGGGAACCAAAATTAAATTTACTGAAGACTATCCTCGTTAAGAGTGAGCAAACGAGATCGTATAGGATACATCCGCTTGTACAAAGACATAGCAATCGTATCTTGAACGGTAAGCTTGCCATTGAATGTAGCCTTAAAGTATCCATGGGTACCCAATGGCTCCTTGATAAACCCTGTACGGCCTTGTTTAGTAAACAGTTGAATAGGCTTGAACCACATAACATCTTCAGGGTTGAAAAACATGTAACGAACAGTGATAAGTTTTTTGTGGATTTTGAATGGATGGCCAGTTAGAACAGCACGCTTAACTATCACAGAAGAAGTATCACTCTTAAGGAAAGAACCAGTAGCAGCTAGGCGTAATGAACCATCAGGCATAGGTTTAAAAAGTGTTACAGGCAGACCCCCGAAAACTATAGGACCGATAATAGTACCTAATGCAGGTTGCTTAGCTTGCAAATATTTGTAATATTTTTGAAGGTTATTTGCGGCACCAGAAGCTGGAGCATCGGAATACAGTGGATTCACGTACAAGCGACGAGGTCCAACTTGCATAATTAATTCTTCTTTAGAAGCTATAGGATCTTCATATTCTGAATGCTTCATGACTGTAAAGTGGGAAACAGTCGTTCTATTCTCATAGGCCATTAACGAATATAGCACAAGCATATTGTTAGGCTGACTATAATAATTGTAAACAGAAACAGGCACGTCTCGGAGCTCTACAACAACTGACATTCCAGGTTTAGCTTCACCGATGAATGGCTGTTTGTAAAGCTTGTTCTTTAGGTTGCGATAATTTTCAAGCTTGTACAATTGTCGCCATTCTGGAGGCTCACTTGGGTCATACTCCTCAGCATCCCAAGGGCTAGTATAGAAACTACGGAGTCCGCGGTATTTTTTCAAGCGTTCTCTTGCTAATTCTTTAGGGTCTAATTCGAGTTCGTCAGGGAATTCAAGATCTTCTTGTTGTTCTTTCATCCTTCGACGATAATCTTCATACTGCCGAGTTTCTTCGTCTTCATTTAATTCAACAAACATTTCAGACTTAGCATCATCCTCAACTTCGCTTTCATCCTGTTCGCTAGCCGGCTGTTCCTCTTCAGGACCGCCCTCATTTTCGACAAGTAATTCTGTGTCTTCAACATCACTATATTGTTCTTCTTCTTCATCCACACCAGGGATCCAAACGGCCTGATAGCTGGAAGTGCCCTTAGGAACGCGTTTAGTGACCGGTATAGGCTCTTCCTCGTTATCCAAATAGTAAAAGTCATCAAGACGAACACCTCGTGGAGGTTCAGATTCCATTTCCATCTCCATACTAACGTCATTTGGAGCAAGGGTCTCTAATTGTTCCTGATTTTCAGTTGGAGCAGCAAGTTCAACTAAACCAGCCTCATTCACGTTTTTGTCTTCTTCCATGGTATCAGAAGGTTTTGTCTTTAAATCAGAAGCATCATATATGCAATTAACTTGAAAATCACCGAAACCTTGAATATGGATCAAGGAGTCTGGATCTAATCCTTTACCACGTACTATACCTTTAACAGCAAGCTTTCCTTCCTTATAATCAATGGACTGAGCCAAAAGATAGGCCCGAGAATCACGCCAAAAGATACCACGGGGATGAGAAGTGCACAGAGCACGCATAACGTTAAGAGCATCCTGTGAAACGTCAGAAGCAAAAACTCGATCCTGATCAGAGAAGAAGAAGTTCATGAAGCTTTGCAAAGATTTCTTAACTTCTCCGCGAATTTTTATGTTGTCAATAACTGACATATCGTTGACTACCGATATGACACTAGATATTCCTTGGCACTGAGCCGTTCTGACGACTAATTCCCCAAATTCATCGACTTCCTGAGTAGCAGAAAGACCAAATATTACATAGTCTGACGCCTTGCAAGCATCAACAAGACTATAAAAGTTCTTTCCAGGCATCAAAAATTGTAACTTTTGTTTGAACCGAGTGATTGTCGTGTTATACTGATAGGAATTTTCTTCAAACAGGGGAAGATCAGCCTCAGGATCCACCGACACTAACAAGTTTCTAAGGATACTCCACGGATCAACGTTCGCGCAAAGAGGAACGATAGTAATTACCTTTGGAGCACCATTTTTGCCGCCAAAAATCCGATTATTCATAGCAGCCTCATTTCTTTTGTTCAACTGTATTTGCTTAGCAGTATTTCGTCGATCTGCTTTAGTAGAGGTATGTTGAATACTTTTAGGACCAGTCCTTTTTGGCTCAACGTTATTACTGTAACGCTCTTTTAACGATGACTTTGAAGCATGTTTAGACTTAAACGGCTTTTTAGGCTTAACATTCGATCTGTGATGATGAGCCATCTTCGATTTTGGACCTTAAGTCAAATATAAGATTCCCTGTCGACAAAATTAAGGATTAGGATAAAAATATATTTTTTATCCAAGGCAATTAAGCTTTACAAGCTTCTTTTTGTACAATTACAAATTTTTCTTAACAATTTCCCCAATGCCGTTTTTAGCAAAGAAAAAGAAATTAAAACCACTTAATTCCTTTAATTATGATTTCTTTTATACTAAAAATCAGTTGTCTCTGCTAAAACTAGTGTTTTGGACAAATGGAGTTTTGTTGAGGGCAAAGTGAAAACTGAAATATCCTTGGAGTTAGTTATACTTAATTCTTCCTTCTTTATTGTAGAAGATAGAAATCACTATTAAGATTTAATTTTAAAATATCATAAAACTCTATTAATAAATAATCACCTAAAGATTAATATGCTTCGTAGGGAAGATTTCTTTGGGCCAAATATTTCTTTGCACAACCATAGTGTACGACAGAACCACTAAATTGTTAATTATAATGAAAAAGGAATAAACTTACTCTGGAAATATAGAAATCACGCTTTTTCCTAATCGCTTGTGGCAATGTAAACAAGTCTTCTCTCTTGTTATAACCACCTTTTCTGAACGAATGCGGGCCAGCTCTGCATTTAGGTCATTAATCCTCTTTTGATACAGCCTTGATTGTAATTCCTTATTATTTTCTTCCTCGTAGAGTTGCCGAAATTGGGAAGACAGAAATGTCCGGTATGTTTTCATGCTGGAATTTTTGGGTAGCAACGGAAAGATTCTTTTTATCTTCAACCGAGAGCTATACTTTGTTATAAATGAGATTATGTCTTCTGGCCGTTCATTCACAAGATCTGTAAGGTACATATAGTAAGGCTCGGTCTCTCCAGTATCCATATAGACAGAATCACAATAGCCGTTCGCTCCCTTCCAATCCTTCATTTTATCTAGATATACATTCAATGCATCTCTATGTTTTGATAAACGTCGATAAAGGATTACCGACGCTTCAAACAGATGGGAGTTATCAGAGTCGATTTCGTTAAGAATTGCATTCGCATCATATGACTTTGATTCATTTAAGTGTTGAATAAGATCTTTTAATACTGCATCAAAGACCACTGATGATTGTTCATAGTTGCTCTCTCTTTCTAACTCATAAATCCGACGCAAATATAGTTGACCAAGGCGGGTCCAGAAATATTCAAGAGTTGTTTTCGCAGAAGCAATTAGTTCCTGTAGATATATGATGGATACTTCAGAAGATACGGTTTCAAGGTAGTTCAAAACTTCATCATGAGCTATGGTGCTGCTTCCACTTGTATCATTAAGGAATAACTGCACCGAGGCTTTGGGAACGCTGCCTAAGGGAATTCTGGCATACTCAAAGATAATTTTTTTTTCATCGGGACGTAACTTTTGAAGGTAATTAAGAATATCATCATACTGAGAGGTTTCTTCTTGAGCTTTAGGAGCGGATAAAGAAGTTCCCTCTTCGTTTAACTTCGTCAACAGTTTCAAAGCATCGTCATGATACCCTTTACTAAAATAATAATCTATTAACTCGCGAAACATACCAGCCGAAGTCAAATTTGCTTCTACAACTGAAGTTTCACAATGATTAGGTAAACGCAACAAAGACCCTACAAGGGCCGGCGTAGAAACCATATACGTTAGAAAAAGAGTAGTGTCAACTTCAATAGCAATATTCTCCAAATCCTTTTTCGATATTATACTGCCATCTTCGTTACGAAAGAGATCTTTTTGATATGAATGGTAAGTTTTTTCATCCCAACTTAAGAAGAGATTGGCTTTCCTTCTAGAATCAGTTAAATAAGTACTTAAACTACGTAACCGTTTATTGTTAAACACTAGAGATTTTCCATCATCCTGTTCCTGAGAGTCGGCTTTTGAGGTTGGCTGTATGCTTCTTTGGGGAGATCCAACCATGGACGGATCTGAAGGAGAAGGTCCGGAAGACAGGATACTGATAGCATCAGAATAATCATTTTCCACGAGCTTGGGAAAAAGCCTCAATACAAAAGAGGGAGATTCACATATTTCAGTAAATAGTTTCATAGCGGTTTCATAGTCACCGGAGGAAAAGGAACGAGAAGCTTTTTCTCGTTTCGTCATACGAAGGTAGTAATCACGTTTTGGAAATTTCGCATCGTTAATTTGGTCTAAGACACTTATCGCTTCATCAAGTTGATTTGACTGCAACAATGATTCTACTTGACAGCTAAAATCTTCTGGAATAAGGATCCAAACATAAGAACTTGAGGTAAAAAAGGTATTTTCTTCGCAAGAAAAAGTAGAGGATATGTTACTAATACCAATTTGTTGTATCAGAGCATGAGTGTCCTTATTCCAAACGTAAATGTATTGAGAATGGAGAGATATTAAATAAGGTGAATTGTATATAACAGCTTGAGGACTAGTAGGCCAGACTAATGGCTTTCTTGCAACATGTAAAGATTTAAGATTAACAAGGAAGCCTTGCGTATCTCTTGATAGTAAAACTTCTTCGTCCGAAATTCTTGTTATGTGTAAGCGATTTAGCTTCATAGACATTCCTATATAACTCATGCCGAGTCCCAAAGAAGAGGATGGCTGCCAAGGAAGATTTAAAGACGAGGACTGAGATGTTTCGACGTTCACTGCAACAAACTCATTTGAAAAAGACACAAGGATCATAGTTGATGACATCCATGTTAGAGAACGGGCTCGATCATTAAGGGAGATTGATTTGTCATGAACAAGATGATCGGATCCTTGCCATTTATATATATTCAGCTGCTTTCTCTCTGCCAAAATAATTTGATCATTTCCGTATAAACACATGTTTTGGCAATGACTACCAACACTTAGAAGCTTCTGAAACGTTGATATTTTATACACATGTATGGAGGAATCTAAAGTTGAGGTACCGGATTAGCATTTAACTCGTATACAATAAAGAATCTTCCTACCAGATAGCGCGTAGAAAATGTCTTTCGAGGCATCACGGATCACCTTTGTTATTGGTTTTTTCGTAAAGGTAGGATAAAACTCAACATGCTCCATAACAAAGTCATCTTACAGAAGTTAGTTCAACAAATAGAAAAGAAAAAAAATAAAAAAACTAAGTACCGTTTAAATTATCATTTCCATGGTGGATCTTGTACCTATCCAAATCGCCATTGCTGTTTGAAACATAAATATATTCACCTTTCCTCGTTAGCAGGAACGAATTCAAGAGAAACAGATCGTACCCAATTCAAAGATGCATTCAATTTTTGTTTTTGAAAGCTCCAAAACGCGAAAAAGAGAAAAAGATCGATGCATAGTCAAAAATCATAAGTAGTTATCAAAAAACGATGCAGACGATGCTGTTCAGATTTCTCATTAAATTAACCAACTTTATAAATGTAAATGACAGCCTCTTTCTTGTTGAAAATACTAGCCGAGCAAGTCTCTGTATTGATGCATGACTCTAACATGACGCTTTACTGAGCATGGTCGAAGGATAAGCGTGTCGCGTTAACATTCCTTAATAAACAAAGAAAGAAGAACAAACATTTGGCAAATTTCGTAGAGGTATTCTTGCTTAGATTTTTAGGAGTTGATTTGTTGAAGTGTTGGAAAGTTTCTATGAACATAAAGCGTCAAAAGATTTAGCAAAGGTGGACAATTGAAATTAGAATAAAGGTATTAACGTTATCGAGATGAAATAGGCAGAGCAATCAAGCTCCAAAGCATTCTCATTTTTTAAGTTTAGAACCATTTGTTTACTTGGAAGTAGCAGGCCAAAATCCTTCTTCAACCCAGCCGGCTTTTAAAACGCCCACCTAGTAACAATTAGTTTTTGAAAACAAAGCAAGATGTTTGAACACGTTCCATAAATACGCTTTTTCATACAATTGAGCTTAGTTTCACGGGTCGTTTCAGTTTTTGTTCTTGATGCACAAGCATTTTATAGACGTTCAAATAAACATCTTTAGAAATTACCACTTCATTTGAAGAATGCTCATTCGTGAGTTTATCATGATCCAACAACCATGCAGAACGCCTTTTGTACCATTCATTAACACCAACTTCCCAATCTTGCATATTTCGTGTTTCTTGCATGGTTCTGGTTAAACATAAGGCTATTGCCCCTTGTACACTAATCCATAGGGAATGGAATGAGAGGATCTTATTGTATCGTATTAGTTCACTAAAAGTGATATAGAAATCGTAGTATGTTCTTTAGAGCGATATAAACAAAAGTCGATGGGTGCAGAGGAAAAAATATAAAGAAAAGGATTGTGTAGGATGTCTTATAATGCAAGTTTCTCCTAATGGATAACTCTTATTATGTTTGTCATTACCTTGTTTGCTGAAAATGCTTCTCATGAAAAAGCTTTGTTTGCTGCTTGGTGTAAACAATCAATCAGTCATGTCGAGATGTTTTTCTAAGAAGGATTAATAACTTTTTTCTTTTTGGTGTTTACAAAAAAAGGAAACACTTGAAACGAAATAGCAACGGTTTCAGTTCCTACCATATGTCTGTAGATCAATACCAATGAATGAACCTTTTTTTCATTCCTGTGCAATTTTTTTTCTGAATTTTTCATACAAAGAACAGCTTTCTTTAAGTTATACAATTTAAATTATTCCTGCCTTAATAGCCCTATTTGCAGACTTGCTTCCTTCATTCTTTAGTATTCCAAGTACGTTGGTTCATTGTTTGAATCGTTTCCAGAGTAAGACGTATTCTTTTGTCACCTTTTTTCATAGTTTAAAGATTGTTCAAATTATAAACGACGAGCTTTTCATGTCATGTCGGTAACTACACATTCTGCAAATGCAGTATCGAAATCACCACCACTGCCTTCATCGTTTGCTCCCGCTCATGCTTTTAAAGAAGAAGTGAATCCCTCTTCTACTGTGCTCTCTTTTTGCTTATTCCTCTCATACCTAGGCTCTGTAACTGGGATATCGAGTTATGCACTCTTAAGGGTATAGGCAGACAACTTTTTTTCACAAAGTCCTTATTTATTAACATTCAATTTAGTATTACGTACGCCCTAGATGGCTTCAATTGCTCGCTGTACGGCATGCCTATGTGAAATCCACCTTGACAAAGCTAGAACATGTTTCAGCAAAAGCAAAAGAGATAGAAAAGAAAACAGCTACTTTACAATCAAACCACGACTTGTGGGTTAGAACAAAGGTTGCTAAAAGTCGGATATCTACACTAAAAATTGTTGCACAAAAGAAAGAAGAACAAATACCAGCAGAAGCATCTCTAAACCTAAGTCTACAGGGGTTCAAAGATATTTTGAATGCTGAAGTTGGCAACTTTCTTCCTTTGTATAACCCTAAAAGCATTCCAGCTGATCCTATATCACAATTCCATGATGATCTTTGCAATTACAAAAGGCTTCATTTGTCTATCTCATGAGATAATCATTTTTCCAAAAAATAACTATGCAATTCATTAAACGCCAATTAAGGATCGATAGTTCGGGGAAGCATCTTGATACTTATTAATAAAATACTCATCCTTATGCTGTACGAGATATCTAGATTAATTGTCAGTCAGTAAAATAAAAAAACACTTGTTGTACTTACTGTAAAAATTCCTCGATATATCCTAGTAAACAGTCAATCGACTGTGAGTCCATATTCGTATGGTCGATTAATTCAGGTAAGCTAACGAAAAGCCGTATTAGGTGTTCTGCGCCATAAATATCGCACATCTCAACTCCAGGATACTCTCTCCGAACTTCTAAGTATTGCTGCCTTTCAAAACGATAAAGTAACATGTTTCCAAGGCACTTATTGAAATAAATAGCTAGTCCAGCCATAGCCTGCTCAAACACATCAACGTCGACTTCATTCGTTAAAGAAGAAATCTTAGATTCCCTGAAAGCAGCAATGGCAGCTCTCACGGTCGGCTTTCGAGGCAGTGAAATTAACTGAAGATGTTTTGTGATATGTTCCCAATCATCTACTAACCAAAGCTTTAAAACATCAGGAACTCGAACCTTGTGTTTAGGCAATGGTGGTTCTTCATCAACGGATTCTTCTTCTACGGCTTTCACTGCTGCATCTACAGCGGCTTCAGAAACCGCCTCGTTTTTTATCACATGAGGAACAGGAGAGGCTGACTTTTGGGCTTTCGCTCTTTGAGACGTTTCACGGGATTCACCCTCCATGGTGGTAGCGCTAGATTCCCGAGACCGTTTTCCGATAGGTTTAGTTGCTTGACCAGACGCTTCACCAACCTTGTTAGTAGAAGAAGCTGCCTTTTTCGTAGCAGCAGACTTTTGTTTAGCTGCCAAGGCTGTACTCTTTAATTCCTTTTGTGTTTTCAAATTTTCGTCATTCCACTTTAATATACGATCGGGTCCGACCCACTCATCCCAGCTATTTTTCCATCCTCTATAGTGAATCAAGTAGGTTGACGAATCTTCCTTTTTCTCTGTGTCTATAACTTTAGCTTCATAAAGTAAAGGTCCGTGAAAGCACAACACCCGTTCATTCACTTTGTACGACATGGAAAGAGTAATGTATGGAAGCGGCTCGTGGTGGTGAGGTCTTCTACAGTACCGCCAAGAAACAGAAGAGAAAGACAGCAGTATCCTGAAAAAGAAACTTTTAGGCACTTAACGGAAACCGTTGTGGTGGTGAACAATTTGTTGTCCAGTTCTGAGTCCACTTCTGAGGGAAGCCAAGTTGTCGAAGCGGGTTAATTGCTGTAGAAGGTTTACTATTCTGTTCTTGAAAAGGCTAAAAGTGCTAGAAAAAGGAAGTTTTTATTGTAAAATAAATAATTCAAGGTAAGAAATATAACAAATCTACTAAGCAAGTGAGGAGTATTTTTTGCATCAAATAAAATCGAATTTATTCTGGAAAGGGCAAAGGAAGGACTATTATACCTTTCATATAAACACTATGATATGAAAGCTGAAATATTTTAAATGTAGAAACGCGAATGCTGATAATTACGACGACCATATTCATATGGCTGACAAAAACTTGGCTGTTGATTTCCTTGGTTCCCTTGTTTCGCTTTCTTGATAAACTTCACTTTTCAAGTGAAAGAACGGTTAAACAAGACATCCATTCGTATTCCTACAGCTGAGCTAACAAGATAGCAGGGGTTTGTTTTCATGGAACAAAAAATTCTAAGCGATTATTTGCTTTCCCAAGGAACTTTCTCTTCTATCATTCATCTCCAAGAATGGAAAGAACTATTTCCTCGTCGTTTTCGCGACGAACCTTTGCTCGTTGAACTTTATGACAGATGTACCAAGCAACAACAAAACCGATTAAAGAAAATCAAGGCCAACATTGAGATTGAGAGTCAAATACTCGGAAAGAATGAAAGAGATCAAATGCTTTCTGCAAATATACGAAAGTTCTTTCAAAGCGCTGCTCCCCAAGGTTCCGATCAAGACGAATTTTATACAACGTATGCTGCTAAACCGCTCGACATAACGGCTATCAACCAACGTCTGGAAAACGCATTGCAAAGTGTCAAAGCGGAAGTTGATATAGAGCGTAAAAAATGTTCTACGTTGTCCTCTCAATTGGACGCGTACGTAAAGTTCTTTTTTTTCTTCACTTATCTAACTTGATTAGACATATTGATTCGCTAAACGATTTGAAATGGTCACAGGAACCTAATCTAGAGGAACCTGTGGCTCTTCTTGATGATTTGATTGAACAATTGGAGAGACGCTGCAACGAAGTACCTTTTGTCAGTAATAATGACGAACTAGACTGAGTTTTCTATACAACTGTTACAATATTTATTGATGAACTTGAAGTTCCATGCGTAAAACATTTTATTTTCGTCCACTAAGACTTTTACGATAACCTTTTCCAAGGAATTTCAATTGCTGAAAGCGAGTTGTTACATTCTTTCTTTTCAAAGAAGTATTCTTTCTCTATTTTTTGAGTTTTCTAAACGTTGTTTCAACTATTCAGCTGTTTCAGGCTAAGCTTGCATCACAAAAGTTCTATTTTCATGGCGAAAGCGATACCATAACTCTGAGTCTACTTTTACAATTCATTTCAAGGAAATGCTTTATTTTTTTCCTTTTTTTTTCATTATTGAGTTTCTTCATTTCCAATTATTTCCCACTAATATAGCAGATATAGCAGGTATCCGAGATCTCTTTTGGAATTCGTGGGTGTTTTCTTTTATCCGAAGCCAGGTTCGATTAAAGAAATTTTGTTCTGAAAAATCAATTGAAATTCAATTGAAATTTGTTCAGCTTAAAATCAGCCTTGTTTGCCTATATAGAAGCAGGAAACGAGGTGTTTCAATCTAGACTTTCGGTTGTGCAAGATACCATCGATTCTATATTCTTTTTTGAAAAGTAATCTCTCCGTTTTATTACTTTTATCTGAAAAATGAAGCCTACAGTCAATTACTCTTTGTATCTAGTAACAAGCTCTACACAAATAGCACCAGGATCCAGCTTGGAAAAGCAAGTAGAGGAAGGAATCATTGGCGGAGTTACTTTGGTACAGCTTCGTGAAAAAGATATTTCCACAAAACTGTTTTTGGAACGGGCGAAAAGTGTTTTAAATATTTGTCGAAAACATGGCGTACCATTGTTGATCAACGATCGAATCGACATTGCATTAGCCATTGGAGCTGAAGGAGTTCACATTGGACAAGACGATATGGACTGTAAAACCGCTCGCAAAATTCTAGGAGAGGATTCCATTATCGGTGTTTCCACAAACAACATTCACGAAGTCGACTGTGCTGCTGCTGATGGTGCCGATTATGTTGGAATCGGCTCTATTTATGATACCAACACCAAGAATGTTAAAGAACGTATTATCGGTATTACAGGTCTGCGTGAAATTTTGGAACATATGTCCAAAATGCCCCGTCAGCTGAATTCAGTGGCCATTGCTGGTTTAAATTCTAGTAATATCCAGAGAGTTATATATTTGAGCGAAGTTAACGGAAAACGCATCGATGGTATTGCCTTAGTTTCTGCTATTATGTCCTCCACGACGCCCCTCGAAACTGCCAAGCACCTCCGTCACTTGATCGTCTCCCCTCCTTGTTTCGCTCAAATCCATTCTAAGATTTCATCTAGCTCGGAGTTGGTTGCCAAGGTGGGTCCTTTGTTTGCCAAAACAAAGGATTATACCCCTTTAATCCATCATTTGACCAACGGTGTTGCTAAAAATTTTTCTGCTAATGTTACCTTGGCTGTCAATGCTTCCCCGACCATGGGAGAAAGTAAAGAAGAAGTTGCTGACTTTGCCAAATTTGCTGGCTCACTTGTTTTGAATATAGGAACTCTACAGGTTCGTGAGACCCTTATTTATGCGTCTCAAATCTATAATTCATTGAATCGACCTGTTGTTTTAGATCCAGTAGGTGTCGGTGCTACAAAATTTCGTACCGATGCTATTTCAACATTACTAAACCATGCTTATTTCGATATAATCAAAGGTAACGAAGGTGAAATTATGAGCATCGCCGGCGAAGAAGGTATTATGAGAGGTGTTGATAGTGTTTCTCAGCATACTCTTACTTCAAGAGTTTCCGCTGTTCAACGTTTGGCTGTAGAACGGCGCTGTGTCGTTGCCATGTCTGGTCAGACAGATATTGTCAGTGATGGGAAAACCACTTATATCATTAACAATGGAACTTCCTTACTAGGTAAAATAACTGCGTCCGGTTGTTCTTTGGGAAGTGTGATGGGTGTTGCTGTTTCCCTTATCCCAGAAGATAAACTACTTGCTGCGGTCTCTGCAACATTGCTTTATAACATTGCCGGTGAATTGGCTGTTCTAGAGGAAAAGCCTGCAACATCTCATGCTGTCCAGGGTCCTGGAACTTTTTTGCCTGTTTTTATCGACAAATTGTATTTCCTTGTTAATCAGTGCATTAATGGTGACTATAATTGGCTTAATCGCGCTCTTATTCAAAAAGTCTAAGAAAGAAAGATTACAGTTGCCATGAGAGGGACGATAATTTTCGTATAAAATAAATGAATTACTAAATAGCATTTACGATAAACACTCACAAAGAATGGAAAAAATAATAAAGGAAGTTAGTAGGATGTAATCCCAGTAGCGCACTATCGAAGAAAATGAGGAGTTATTTTATTTTTAACATGAGTAAAAACATATCATAAAGAAACTTTTTCAGTGGTTTGGCAAGGGATGCTCTACATCAGCAGAGACCGAATTTTTTTATGATACAATTAAAAAAGTATCAAAACTTTACTAAGTCCTGATCATATTTGTTAAGCAGCTTGACCTTCGCCAGTAGTCTTCTTTTTATTGTTCTTTTTCTTCTTGCTAGCGCTGCTAGTCTTCAAAGGAGTCTCGAGAAGGGAGATGATTTCCTTGTCCTCAATCTTCTTGTCCGACTGGATGTTGTTGCGAGGCTCAGAATCACTAAAGACAATGGTACCGTTCTTGGTCAAAGCAATAGTAGAGTAAAACTCAGCAATATAGCCACCCTCCTTGTCGGTCAAAACATCATAAGGATACAATAGGTCGTGCTGAGTGCATTCGCTGAAACCCATGTTTGTTCTGCTATCATGAGTAATGTTACGGGTAGAAAAGGGGTAAGCACCAAACTTATTTTGAATCTCAGAATAGACCTTGCGACTGGCTTGAAGCTTCAACATGTATTTGGTATCAGTCTTCTTGTAAATACGGGTAGCAATGTCAGAACGCTTGATTTTTCCACTAGGAGAAGAAGAGATCAGGATATCAACACCATAGACTTCACCTTCTTGGAAGGTAAAAGTGTCAAATTGAGCGCGTTGGGTCTCAGAAGGATTCAAAATGATTTGCTTTTTACCATCAATCACGTCTCTTTCTTGTTGGTGAGTGAGCATACCAGAAACAGGCTTGCAACCATAAGTAGTAGCAATTTTGTCGACAATATCAGTGACTTGCCAGTTATTATTTCCAGGCTTGATAGTACGTTGGGCAGCCTTCAAGGCAGCAGAAGCAGCAGCAATCACGTCTGCCTTTTCACCAATGACAGCTTCCTCAGAAACGACAACAGTAGTAGCAACTAAAGATGCGAAACCATCAATGTGAGCACCTAAGAATACCTTAACAATATCACCCGCCTTTAAAATAATGTTGGCTTCAGGGTCATTAGACAAGGGAGATAAGTGTGCAGCAACTCCATTAGGAGAAACGGCAGTAGGGAAAGCAATACCCTTATAAGAGTCCTTACCGCGTGCAACCTTGCTAACTGCTTCTTCCAAGAGTTGGTCACCACGGACGCAGATGTCGAAGACCTTAGCACCGTCTTTACATAAGTCGACGACCTTGTTTAAAACATTTTGGGAAAGTTCACCAGCAAGCTTGTACTTGTTGATAGTTTCAGAATTGTTCAAGCTATAGTCAACAGCGGTCTCTTGCTTAACTTCTTTGGTAGCCATCTTGAAAGGATTATACGCAAAGATGGACCTAACTTTCCAGGAATTTCTGAAGACAGAATGAGATAAATTTTGCAAGTCACAGAAAACATCATCTCTTAAATAAAGTTAGCTTTAGCGAATCGCTTGTTTACATGGATTGAAATACAATGGGGAGTGGAAAACGGCAGGAAAACAAGAAAGAATTCATGCCGAAGAGTAATTTGTGTATTACGAATGTAAAAAAGTTGAACAAGGCCAAGGGAACTTGATGAATCTCGAAAATATCCGTTCACCCATGCAACCGCATTCCATTCATTGTCTAATTACTTATTTATCCATATAAACCGTCTGCATAATTTTCGTCAGACGCAAAATCATCTTGAAAACTATGTTCACTGGATCCTCCCCATTCATCTTCATCTGGATAGCTGTTTTGATAGAAGCTTTCTGCGTTTGAATCCTCGTCAATCTCATCCCGCAAAGGGTCCTCTTCTTCTGCATCATGACTTTCCGATACAAGCTCATTTTCCAGCGATTCACGAAAAGCATCAGGAACACTAAGAGCATCGATAACTCCGTAACCAGTCGGAGGCTTAGATGGCTCTTTATTTGACGCTTCATAAATATCGTAAACATATTCTTCACGGGCTTGTTGAAGAGGTAAGTCGCCATTTGAAAGGTACTCATGGATCATAGAATCTAATTGAGGATGCGTATGATACATCCCTTGACTAAAAATGCAGTGTTAGTTAAGCATTCAAGAAAAAAATAGAAAAAAAATATATCTATATTTGCCGACAGAATCAAAAAGCTGATTCATTGCAACGTATTCAACTGACGAAAAAGATTAACGGAGAAAAGCCTACCTTTTTTGGAGACGAATAGCATCAAAAACTTTTTCATCTTTTGTAGATGGTAAATTTTGGATCGCAAATCTTGGAGAGTCCAAAGTAGGAGGAATGGAAGGAACTGATCCTTTTACATCCAAATCCATATGAGAATGAACTTTTGGAATTGCAGGTTCAGAGGGTTGGATAATTGGAATCCCATAAGAATTGGCCTTTGGCAAGGGTGGTTTGCTAGGAACATTCGTTGATTCTAGCAAGTCTGACGCAGAAGAAGAACGGACGGCGTTCACATTCGACACATATTGCTTATCGTTTTTTAACGTCTGAGAGAGTCTAAAAACTTCGTTCCCTTATTAGTTTTTTACTCTTCACAGAATTTAATTGCACTCTTCCACACAGATGTGATGACCGTGGAAGAGTAAATCTATTCAGTATATACTTACAATATCGGCCTGAAGATTTCCTTTTTTTAGCAATTGTTCGTTCCCCTATTTCATGCCCAAGCTCCAAATCTACTCGGTGTTAGCCACAATTTCATTATGGTTGTTTTTTTTCTTACATAGAGCATTTACGGGATCATCAGTTGCTTTTCTTTTGACACGCAAGACTGGTAGAGGCATAGCTTTTCTAATTTAATTTACAATGATACAATCCTCATTGACCATAAAAAGACTCGCAAACAAATGCAATTCTATTTTGTTGTTGGTAGCTTTTTTCACCACTGGGTAAAATCCAAAACAAAAGGTCAAGTGACCATTTCCATCCAAGTATAGATATAAAGTGTACAGAATTCTCTTGAACTCGTAGAAATTATTTTTTTGTAAATGCTGTTTGTAGGAATTGAAGATACGCTTCTGAAAATCTATTTTCATTTAATTTTGACCTGGTTGCTCAAAGGAAACTAGCGTAGAAGTACGTGAATAAAATTTGCTATGATTTTTTCTTTCTATTATTCTTCTTCGCTTTCCTCAATTGAAAGAGTTTCGAAAAGAAGCTCCTGAATCCAAAAACCAAAGGCAAATCAGGTTCACAGCAACTATGAGGATAGCACTTTAAGAATTTATGACAAAAGAAAAGGCCATTCTAGCTCTCATCTAACAGACTTCATTATTCGAATCATCAATCAGCAGTCTACACGATACAAAGGAATTTTATACATGGGAATACCTGCAAAACACCAACTGACCATATCACAATGCTTGAAAATTGGTGGACAATACTTGTTGCGCTTGCAACGATTCCCTTAGCTACATTTATTGTTTTTTCCCTTTTCTTTGCATCGAAAAAAACCATTCAGAAAAAGACACCGGCCATCTTTTTTGTGGGACCAACTGAATCTGGAAAAACGACCTTGTTTTGTCAGGTAGGATTATGAAAATTGAATCATTCTATTAACTGTTTCCCTTTAGCTTGTTTACGAAAAGACCAAGTCTACTGTGCCTAGTATTGAGCCAAACGAGGCTTTATGGAAAGATGATATTGTTCTTGTAGACTTACCCGGCCATGCTAGAACAAAGCATTGGACAGAAAAAAAATTAAATGAAAGTTACGATATACGGCTTGTGGTTTTTGTTTTGAATAGTGCAACCATGGACCGAGATTTGCATCAAATTGGACTCTCTTTATTTGATGTACTACTGAAATGTAGAAAGCACAAGATATCGAAAGTTTTAGTAGCGTGCAATAAGTTTGATTTGTTTACTGCTCAACCTGCAAAACAGATCCAAACTGCTGTTTTGAAAGAGTTGGACAATATTTTCGAGGAAAAGGAAGCTCAACTCGACGCTATTGTGACAGAGGACGTCGATTGGGATCAACTGCGCCCTCAGCTTCAAGATATCCCTTTGGAGTTCCTTTCTGGCAGCGCTCTTAAAGGCACCAACTTGGATCAATGGATTCAATGGATGGAATCCTCTCTCTAGAGGCATATCAGTCGTTACTCCTTTTTAATTTTAATTTTAATTTTTCTTTAATTTAGAATCTTGATGTTTTCTTGTTGAATGGAATTTAGGACTTGGCGAATTCCTTTTCAATGCGAAATGTTTACTAGAAGCAACTATATCTTCTGCTCGTTGACAAAACATCAAAAGGAAAAAGACTTAAAATTGTAACTAAATTCCTCACATACTGGTGTAAATAATTTCTAATTATGACTTTCCATCTCTTCTTTCTTACTAATATCCTAACATAGCATACAAGTTTCTTACGACACAAAGTAGTTTCATAATCTTTAACAAATAAATGACATTGAAAATTAAAAGGAAAAGACAAAAAAGGAACAAGGAATATATGTATACGTATGTATGTATGTAAGTATGTATGGAAATATATACGTTTCTACATGGAAGCAAAAAAGAAAGCGCATCGGGTGAAATTTGACAGGATATAGGCTGTCAACGTGACCAGCACGCAAAAAAAGGAGCATTCGCCTGTTTAAAATTCAAACATGGTTTCAGTAATAATACCAGTGACAAGATAAGGGTCGATAGAGGAAGCAGGACGACGATCCTCAAAGTACCCACAACCTTTCATAGCAACAGAACGAGGAATACGGACAGAGGCACCACGGTCAGCAATACCATAGTTGAATTGTTCTATAGTACCGGTTTCATGCTTACCGGTAAGACGCAAATCATTATCATCACCATAAACTTTAATGTGATCCATGTGACGCTTTGCGAATTTTTCAAGATACTGCTCAATGGCCTTCATGCCACCTTCGGCACGACTATCCTTGGTGGAAACATTAGTGTGGCAGCCAGCACCATTCCAGTCACCCAAAATAGGCTTGGGATGGAAAGAGATCTTGACACCAAAATCTTCGGCGATACGGTGGAGGAGGAAACGAGACATCCAGAGTTCGTCACCCATTTGAATACCACGGCATGGACCAACTTGGTATTCCCATTGAGAAGGCATGACCTCGGCATTGACACCAGAAATGTTGATGCCGGCATAAAGACAGGCCTTGTAGTGGGCCTCGACGATGTCACGAGCAAAAACATTGCCGGTACCGACACCACAATAGAAGGGACCTTGAGGTCCTGGGAAGCCACCCTTAGGCCAGCCAAATGGGCGGTCATAATAGTCTAACATTGTGTATTCTTGTTCAATACCAAACCAAATATCTTGGCTGGCATGCTTTTCCATAAGCTTGACGCAACCATCACGGTGGTTGAAGTGGTTAGCAGAGCCGTCGGCGGTATAACAAGCAGCGAGAACGAGAATGTTGTCACCGCGGCGAATGGGATCTCTATACATAGCAACGGGTTTTAAAAGGGTATCTGAGTTATAACCGGGGGCTTGACCAGTGGAGGAACCATCAAAGTTCCAAACGCGCAAGTCTTCCAAAGATTTTGGCTTTTGGTCGAGGGTCATGGTTTTGCTGCGGATGTGATTGAAACCATCAATCCAAATATACTCAGCCATTACCTTGCCATCTAAAGGTTCAAGGTTGGCGTACTTGGCCATAATTGAGGCCTTGGACAAAAGAGGATCAACTTCGTATTGGCACATGTTGGAGAATCTGTGAATAAAAGGAAAACAAGTGAGAACCAGAACCTTCTAAATCTATTCAAAAAGGAAAGAAAACTCGGTGAAAAACAAGAAAATTAAGATGCAAATAAAAATTTAACACACCCTTTTCTATAAAATAGGACAAATAATTTCCGAGGAATGATAAATTATAAACCAAAACAATATAAGAACAAGGATTAAAATTATAAAATTAAAATAAAAAGGGGAAGGATTTGTGTGTCTTTTTTTACCTAATCCTGGTAGGAAAAGCGGTGTTTGGAGAAGGTAGTTGGCAGGGCCGCCGAGTATTATATATACGTGTAAAATAACAGTGTCAAATTTTGTTACCGACAAGGTCGCCTACTTCTGCTCATCCCATTGATAAATATAGGGTAAGGGTTTGCAAATCAAAAATGAAGCAATTTGATTGGAAGATAGAGAGAAAATAAGAGAGCTTGGTGCAAGCTGGAAGATAAAGTCCGCCAATGATTCGACGACTTTTTAGGGGAAATAAAAAATGACAGACGATTGGGGAATGGGTTCATAAGATAAGATAACCAGCACGTTCACTACGCTAGGAGGCTTCGGAACATTCTTTTAACGAAGAAGAAAGGAATGCCTTATTCAGTAGAAAGATTTACATGAGTGTTTGTGTTTATTGGTAAAGCGAGGAGCAAGATGTTGTTTCAGCCTCATTTTCAGGTATTATTTTTTTTTATTCTGGATTGTTTGAGAGTGACCCTTTGTCTTCATGATTGGTTTGTAAGAATCACTCAGGGTTGTGTGTGTTGATTTCATGTTTAGCAGCAGAGTAGGCAGTGATGTGGGGCTTTCATAATTCACTGAATAAGATTCACCGGATCCTCGTGTTCTGGAAGCGAGGTATTTCCCGCACAAACTTATTGTGTCGTCTAGAAGTTCATTTGTTTATATTCCTTTTTTCATAATTTTTCCTTTTGCATCTTTGTTAGCAAGCTCTAAAACTTGTTCAGTCGTCAATAAACAGAAACGCATCAAACTAAAACTCTTGCCGCCTTTTTTTAGTACCTTGCGTGTGATTCATATTATATTATCTTCCTGACCCTCCTTTACGAACTCGCACATTCTACCGGCGAATACTTTTGAAATAGGTTAGAGAAAAACGAAAAATCGAAAGAATCATCAGCAAGAATCATTGAGTTATCGAATAGACGCACTGTCCCACTCATCGCTTCCATTCTCGTTTCAATCTGACCCCATGTTACTGTACAGCTTTCGTCAAGCGGCGGCTTACCATCTATCCTTTTTCACGTATCGAAATCCATAGTGGAATAAACTAGGTGGGGATTGGTAATTAATTCCAGGTGGGGGTTGAGAACAGATTGTTTCGCACTGAGGTAGGTAGTAAACAGATCATTTTATCATAGCAAATAAATGTCTATAAGACTTTTCAAAATATAGCTATCTTAGGATTCTTCTTAAAAAATCTTATGGCTCGTCTGCTGCAATGGATCCTCCTCCCAAACACAACTCATCATTGTACATTGCCAAAACTTGACCAGGCGTTAATGCCCGTTGAGGATTCAAAAAGTCAACCACTAATAAACCATCTCCTTGAAATAAAGCCTTTGCGGGCTCGAGTGTTTGCTGATGTCGTACACGCACAGAACAATCAATGGGCCCTTTCGATTTGCTCGCTTCTTGTCGGATCCACTCAGTCGACCATGTCCAATGATTGACTCGAATTCGTTTTCGAAATAGTAATGGGTTCATGCTTCCATGGCAAATGAAAATCGTGTTTGTAGAAGCTTCTTTCTTCCAGATATACCATCGCCCTTGAAATTCCGGATCGCCCTGCGGAAGACTCAAGCCACAGCGCTCTCCAATTGTATAAGACCAGCAACCTGTAGATGGAGGGTAGAAGCCAACCACTTTCCCATTTGCTACGACGCGTATAGGTTCATTCGATGAAGCTAGATATCGACCCAAAAAGCTTCGAAAGTGGCTTCCTACATTTGGTGATACAAAACATAGTCCTTGGCTTTCGAGTCGATCGGCACTCTCATTTAGCCCGGCATGAGCGGCCATCCTCTTAACGTCTTTTTTTTCTAGATTATGTAGCGGAAATATTGTTCGCTGAAGAGCTTTTTCTTGGACCGTGCACAAAAATAATGTTTGGTCTTTCCATCGGTCTTTGGGTAAGCAAAGTGCAACTTGATTATTACTTGCATTTTTCATTGTTTTCGCATAGTGTCCAGTGGCTAGCCACCATTGTTGAGTAGAACAAGAGCCATTCTCCCACTCCCGAGACATTTCGTTTTCTAATGCCTCATACAAGGCTCCAAATTTGACATAGCGATTACAAGGGACATCTGGGTTGGGCGTACATCCTTGCTCGTATAGCTCCAGACTCGGTTCAAATACCCGAGTCCAATAATCCTTTTCAAAATTAAACCTCCGCGAAGGAATATCTAGTTGTTTGCATACTTTCTGAACAAGGGACCAGTCTTGTTCCGCGGGGCATCCGCCTGGTGCATCATCTTCATCAAGCCAATTTCGCATAAAAACACCTTCCACATTAAACCCCTAATTAAAAAATTTCATTAGTTTCTACCTTTACAGCTTAAAAACCATCAAGGAAATACCAACCTGTTTTTTTAATAAATAAGCCGAAAAGCTCGAGTCCACGCCTCCAGACATGGCCACAAAAACTAGATTAAAAAATAAAAATTAGCTTCCATACCATCCAATTCCACAAGTTAGTATTAAAACTTACCTTTATCGTGTTTTCGAGGCCATTGCACTTGAAAGGGCTGCGCTTTCCACCTCTTTACAAATGAATTTGCATTTTGAAAGAAGAATTTTGTTATTTTCATAAACAATTCCTTAAATCGTTATTGTAGCAAACGTTTCTTTAGTAGTTGGGAATTTCTAGTTAATCCGTTAAAATAAATATTTCTATAATATAAAAGGAGAAAAACAAAATAGTGAACTAAAACAAAAGACTGGATTTGCCAAAGTAGGGTTTCTGAAGGAAACGTTGAAACAGTCCAGTACTAAGGTGTTTTTTTTTTTAGTGCTCAATGACTGAGGTAGATGGTAGCAAAAGCAAAAGAAATTCTACTCGATTCATGGTTTCTTATTCCAATTTAAAACTTATTTCTCAATAGAATCGTTCATTTACTTTCTTTTTTTTAATCTTCAGTTTTTTTTTCGTTTATAAAGCATCCATTTTGGCGAAACAAATAAATCGTCAAGATTCGTAAACGTAAGTGAGCAGTTTCCAGAAATTTTTTTCCAATTAAGTTATAAGCATTCATCTGAAAAAGTCCATTCTTTATCTCTATTTTCTGCTTATTTCAAATTTATTCTTTCTCATATTCTGTTTATCCATGGTTTGTTTACTAATAAATAACCGTATACAACCGTATACCGTTTACTATAAGGTAGCGTGGTATCGTTATTCTCCAAAACACAGAAATTCAGCAGTGTGTCAATCATTTCAGTTACCAAAAACAAAGGGATAACGTGGATGCAAAGTCTGTAGGAGGATTGAAGGCTTCACTTAAAGTATTTTACTGACAAAGAAAGAAACCATGTTCCTTTTCAAACCGTTGATCTTACTTTTCTCACTTATTGTGTGCTCCGTTCAGGCTGTTCACTTTGACATTCCAGCCGAGTCGAATCCCCAAGCTTTTTGCTTACGTGAATATGCTGGAGAAAAAACACTAATGATTGTTTCAGTGAGAACAAGCGGTAACCGTGGAGATGGGCAAAAGCTTAGCATGGAAATCAAAGACTCCCAGGGCACTATTCATTCAAGTGTTCAAAATTTAATTGACGAAGAGCGTATTGTTTCCGAAGTATCTGGACCTACTGTAATTGATATTTGTTTCATGAATACTTTGACACCGGGTATGTTTTTGCTGAACTGAACGCGTAGGAAACCCCCAAAAAAAAGAAGCTATACGTTGGACCTTTGTCCTATGTTTGGGGGCTAGGCTGTTCGTGAGGGTAAATAATGAATGGATGAATTAACAAAATTATAGGTGCTATGGAATCTAACCACAAAAAACGATCTGTTAAGTTAGACTTCAATATTGGAGCTGATGCTCAAGATTACTCTGCTTTACAAAAAGCCTATAACCTGGAGCCAGTTGAAGCTGATCTTCAGCGCGCTAAGGACTTTATTAACGAGGTAAAAGGAAAGATGTACTACTTACAAACACGTGAAACTAAATTTCGCAATACGAATGAAAGTACGAACGAACGTGTCAAAAACTTTGCTTACTTTACATTCATTACCTTGATCGTATTGGTTACTTGGCAGATTCTTTATCTTCGTTCTTTCTTCCAAAGAAAGCATCTTATCCCCTAAAAAGCCTGCTCTTGAATCATATATGTAAATTGTGGTGCTGGAATGGTATGTATACATTCTTAAAACCATGCTTATGCTCCCTCTATTATTTTATTTCAATGCCTAGAGATGGATTGATTTGTCATGACACTGTGTATTACAGGGATTCAAATATACAACGATTCTTTTTTTTCTCTCGTATTTCTATTATAAAATATACTACACTACATATAGGATAAGCAAAGTATGATTCAAGGCATGTAAAATTACTATTCATAAATTAAAGATTAAAATAAGTTAAAAACAAAAAAGAAAAAGAGAAAACAAAATCTTCCAGCAGCAAGTGAAAGATCCATTTGCTTCAACAATGATAAAACTTCAAAGCAAAACAAAATTACACGTGTAAGCATAACAAAAATAAAAGTGTAATCATTAAAGTCATTAGAACAATGGCTAAATGATTTTTCGAAGAAACTGCTTAACAACTTCAAAACAGGGCATGGGACTATTGACCGGGTTATTGATTGCCGAAGCTTTGTTGCCAGAAAAGCGAATGTCAATAATATTAGCCAACGAACCAAGAGAAAATATTTCGAACGTCAAATAAACTATAAAGCTGTCCGTGTTGATTTTAGCATCTACACGATATTTATTTTCACGTAAAAAGTCTTCTGTGCTATAAGGGCGAAAAGAAGCTCCGAGGAGCTGCAAGCTCTGGCACAATTGCAATAAAATTTCTCGCGGAGATTTATTGGTCTGTATGCCATAATGCCACCGAAATTTTCGTAACCTGGTTGAAATGGTCGCGTGGAACCCATGAATATTATACATTTTGGACATGTAAGTCGCATGTTCGCTGGGAAGGGATGTAGGTAGAATATTGACATGCGATTCGGAAGACGCCTTTGAAGGAGGCGTGACTAAACCAGAGGGATCTTTCTTTTCAGAATATGACAATGAGTTTGGATGTGAATCAGAACAAGGAAAGAGCTGAAAGGACAAATTATCGGCGGATGAACTAAGGTCGGTGTTTGAAGACGCATAGACAGGAAGGTATGATAAATCTAGAGATTGAAGCTGTGAATTGTTCTGACTAACTGAAGAAGAGGTTAATGATGAATTAAAAAGGTGTGCCAATTCAGCTGGGTAAAAGTTGACGATATGATCTTTCTCGGAGAAGAAGGTACTATGCGAAGACAGGCGAACTGATGGAAGATTATCGGCTACAAACCAAGGGTGCTGAATAATATCAGATATTTTGATTCTATCAGTTGGGATGACGGTGAGCATTTGTCGGATTAGATCGGTAGCACCTGAAGAAACGTGAGAAGGTACTGTATAGATTCCTTTACATGCACGGCTCAAAACATTGGATATGGTGACGTCTTCAAAAGGAAATTCACCGACGAGCATGAGATAGAGCAGGATTCCACAACCCCAAATATCTACATCACATCCATCATAATACCGACCTTGAATGACTTCAGGAGCAGCGTAATGAGGAGTGCCACAAGAAGTTCTCAAAAAACTACCATCGTACATAAAGTTGGAAAGGCTAAAATCACTGAGCTTAACCGTTAAGCTATTGGAGACAAGGATGTTTTCGAGCTTTAAGTCTCGATGAGACACATTGTTTTGGTGACAGTATTCGATAGCAAAGACAACTTGTTGGAAGATTCTACGGGCTACAGCCTCGTTCAGACGTTTACATCTAGCAAGCATGCTATGAAGGTCGGTCTCCATAAATTCCAATGCAAGCACCGTGTACTTTGGGACACGAAGAACTTGGTAAAGGGAAATAATGTTTGGATGCCGAAATGATCTTAAAATCATTACTTCTCGTAAAACATGGTTCCAAGTAGTCTCATCTTCCAGCTCCGCATTTCGTATCATTTTCAATGCAACTTTTTCTTCCGTCTCAGAATGAATTCCTACTATACAACAAAACTGTAAGTTCCTCAAACCACACAAATAATTGTCCACGAAAGAACTCTCAAGAATTCAAGGCCAGGAGTCAAAGATGCCTCATGCACAAAGCTTTCTATATAATCCATTGAGAGTGATCTTTCTCATTCAACTTACACTTTACTTTGGCAAGATTACCCTCGCCAAGAGTCCTCCCCAACTTCCAAGGACCAATGAATTGAGATACATCAACATTTTCAAATTCAATCGATGAAAAAGTAGCGGTTTGCATATGGCAGAGCAACCACCTAGGATTTGTAGATATTTTTATGTTCAAAAAGAGAGAAACAGCATGTATTTGAAGACAAGAAATTGTTTGTTGTTAGTAGCTGGGAATACCTAGTTTACTTAAGAAGTAATATAGCACCATTTTTGATGATATCAAATTAGAGTTCGCTACGACAAGCGATCCGTAAACAAAGAAACGGTGAATAAAACGAGAGAAACAAATAAAGAAAAACAAAATAATTGGTTTTCATTATTAAAAACAAACTTTTTTAAGACCTATACATCCCTTAAAAAATTTGCTAAAATTAAGGTTATCTAAGCGAGAAGGTGAAATATTACATGGACAACGGTAACAGTATACAGTTTATATACAAAGTTACAAACGTGTTTGGACATCTCACAGAGCCCAAGACAAATGAAGTTTCAAGGATAGAAATAGATTTATAGTCCGCTTCACTGTATATGAAAATTATACCTGTTTTCTGGTTTTACGCTTGTGAGCAGGAGTAAACGTTTCTTAAACGAACAGTGAAAGGTAAAACTAGAAAACAAATAATGTGCTTTTTTATTTAAAAATGAGATCATAGACAATACAACTTCAGTATCTGTTTTAAAACCGCTTAGAATAAGTGCTAGTACCATACCGTTTTAAGTTCCTTCTCATAAACAGAGACCGATTCCCGGAATTTCGTATTCAAGGAAAGGGCCCAATAGCGTTTCAATACAAAGAAAAAAGGCTTTCGTTATTTCTCTTGAGTAAAAGCGGCTTCGGTTCTTCCGATCCATCCTAAAAAAATTTTTTATATCGGCCGTCGAGATATAGAAATACATTGGTTCAAACAGGAGCCGCGACTCGATAGATAAGAAAGATGCCCTAATAAGGACTCAACAATTTTCTATATTTTGCTTATTTCTCTTGGCAAATCCGAGATATCCAGTACTTTTCGCTCTAGGTCGCTTTGTTTACATTTTATGGAATCATAGTTCGGTCTCGCTAAATAGTAAGCAACGGCTAGTCCGAGCGGACGACGGGCTCCGTACGGCTCCGAGTAAATTATGTTTGGATTACTTGTTACCAAAACAAAGAACGTTTTTATAAACATAGCATAATTCATCCTTTTTCCATTACCTTTTTTTATCAATTCCCCTTCGCTCAAGGGGCTCTTTTTGGATTTATTACTTTGTCAGTAATTGGGAAAAAGAAATATGATGGAAACCGTGGAAGTACGAAGTAAGAGTCTATTGATTCAATGGCTAAATGTGAAACCAAACAGTCTTCTTAGCTGGCAAATCTACGTGAAACGGAAAAGTATCAAATACGATATTTACTATAAACGAACCAAAGAAAAGGGAAGTCCAGAGGAAGACTATAAGTCGCCGGCCGTTTTGGATGCCAGGCAACAGCAACAAACCCATGAAACTGAAATTCGGAAGCTGAATGCCGCTGGACTTGAGCTTTTTTATCACGGCGAAAGGTGCATGGCTGAAAAGCCCAACGACGGTTCGGTGTTCATTGAGAAAGGAGGATTATTCGCCTTTGTTTTCGACAACACATTCTCTAAAACTACTCCAAAAATCATTACTTTTCTACTGAGCACTCAATCGTTCTCGGGACCAGTTCAGCGAAACTTAAACAGTAAGAATGCCCCTAAACAGCTGGTGTCTGGAACCCTTCTCAAAAAGCGACGCAAAAAAGGCCAAGGATATGCTCGTCGCTACTTTACTTTGGACATGCTAGAAGGAACACTTTCATATTATGCCAACCCCCATTCTTCCATTATGCGCGGAAAGCTACCTTTGAGTATCGCCGTTGTCAGTGTTTCTTCTGAAAGTCATGAAATTAATGTTGATTCTGGTATAGAGGTTTGGAACCTTCGCGCTCATACCCATCATGATTGGCTGCGATGGTGCAATGCTTTAGAACGTGCTAAAAACACCCAGGCTTTTTCCAGATTGACCGTTGGTGAACGATCCCAGCAGTCATCATCGAAACAGCTTGATTCGATATACTCTCGGCTTCGCGAATGCTTAGATATAGCTCAAACCTACCGAATAGGTCGCTCTCGGTCTGCTAATAACCTCAACATTCCCAATATCCGTATTCAACTGCCTGATGAACATATGACAAATAGTGGAAGTGCAAGAGAATCTATCGATGGTTTGCCCTCTGAAAATTCTTCAGCCGTGATTACACTTCGCAAAGTTACTCGCCAGCTTGGCTCTCTATTGCACGAACTAGAATGTTTCATTCAGCATCACGAGTTTACAAAAGAGCAAACATCCGTTTCTGCACCTTCCTCCCGTGTATCCATGGATTCTACTGTATCTCAATCATGGTATGATGCTGAAGATGATCCAACAATCAGTCATGTGACAGATGCTTTGGAAGACCTTGAGCATTCAGACGGTTTGTTAAGCAGTGATCGCAATACCAAAAATTCTGATCCTGATATTACTTTTGTCGAAGATTCTCTTCACAGAGCGAGTAGCTATGAAGAAGATTCAGTCTCCGATTCCTCTGTTTCTGACATTTCTTCTGAAATTACGGAACCAGAAGAGCCTGCGCAGTCGTCCGCCAGCACTGATTCCGTTATATCAAGCGATACCACAGAGGAAGTCTCAGAAGAAAGTGAGGTCAATGGAATAAAACGTATTGAAAGCCTCAAAGATATTAAGGAACAAAAACCAATCCCATTTAAAGAGAAGTCTGATCAAAATTCTGCTCTTGGTTCCATAAACGTGAAGAGTTATAATGATTCTGGCGAACCGAATATTTCCAATGAAGAGACCGAATTAATTTCCTCGAATTCTACTAAAAATAAAGATGTATCTAGCGATTCCAACCGGCCGGCTAATGAACTGTATCCTCTTCCCCACAAAGCTGTTCCTCGAAGACAAAATATACCAGCTATTGTAGAACCTCCTCCTAGTATTCTTTCAGTCTTGAGAAAGAATATTGGAAAAGATATTAGCTCTATTCGTATTCCCGTTGTTTCCAACGAACCTTGTAGTTTACTTCAAAGATATGCAGAAGACTTGGAATATTCTGACCTTTTAGACACAGCTAACGAAAGCAATCCGGAATTGAAGATATTTTATGTTGCGGCTTTTGCGGTATCAAATTTCTCAAACATGAGGCACAAGGAAAGAAGTGTGCGAAAGGTATTTAGTCCGTTACTGGGAGAAACGTATGAGTTGGTTCGTGAAGATAAGAATTATCGATTTTTAGCAGAAAAAGTCTCTCACCGCCCTTTGGTTGTTGCATGTCAAGCTGACAGTCCTAAATGGAAATGGCATCACTCTCCAAGACCTATCCAGAAGTTCTGGGGCAAATCTATAGAACTCAATACTCACGGGGATGTGAATATACAATTGAACTGTGGGCATAAGTTTGTCTTTACTAAACCTGCTTGTTTTTTGAAAAATGTCGCTATAGGAGAAAAGTACGTCGAACCTTATGATCATATGGTAGTTACTGACTCTACCACTGGAGACAAAGCTATCATTCAGTTTAAGGTCGGAGGAATGTTTTCTGGACGTTCTGAAGAAGTATTTGTCAAAGTCATAAGGTCTGACGGAAGCCAAGATCCTCGTTGTTTAACAGGCAAATGGACGACTTCACTAGAGTTGGTGCATGTTGAAACTAATCAAGTGGAAAAGACTATATGGCAAGTCGGAAGTTTAGTAAAAGACCCTCATATGCATTGCGGTATGACACTGTTTGCAGCACAAATGAACGAAATCACACCCATTGAAGATGGCTTGATTCCTCCTACTGACACCCGTTTACGTCCCGATCAGAGATTACGCGAACAAGATTACTTAGAGGAAGCGGAACCGTTGAAATTAGATCTCGAGCAGAAACAGCGAGAGTTACGACAAGAAATGGAGAAAAACCAAATTTCTTGGCTTCCCAGATGGTTTTCCCAAGTGAGGACAAACGATAAAGTGGATGATTCTGACCCACCATGGCTGATGAACGAAGAGCCAAACAATTATTGGGCCTGTCGACAGGAGAAAAATTGGTCAAAGTGCCCTCAGTTATGGTAAATTGAAAAAGTTTTGTGTATTCTCATTTTCATGTCGTTCTAATCGCATGACTTATCTTTCGTTACTTCTTCCTTTGCATTGTATTAATGGTCATATTAATCCTAATACTCATATTTAATATTGAGATTCTAATATACATATTTTTTTCAAACTGTATGAATGTTTTGGTTATACAATAGTAAGAAAATGAGTCCAAAGTCCCATTTTCAAACCGGGCATATGCTATAAGAATACCATCATAGCTACCTCGTAACCGAAACAGCAGTAAAAAGGTAGGAAGTTGTTAAAAAATTCATTTGGTAGAAAATATATGATTCATATATATTAGTCTTTTGTTTTTTGAATGATGAGAATTCACTACCTATGGAGACAGAGGACTTTCTGGCAATTGATGACTCATAGAAGAGCATCAACGTATTACAAGAAACCATTTTGGAGACGCCCATGGCCTGCAACACTGCTAGGATGCGCAGTAGCAGGTACTGCAATTATAGTATTCTCCAAACCGTCGCCGATTGATGCAAACTATCCTACTTCTGTTGCCAGGCATATTCATGAAGCACTATACAGACAAACAGGATCGAGCATACAAGACTTTCAGCAGGCCTGGAAGGCATACCAATCTGCTATAGAACAAGCAGAAAAGGAAAATATGGATATGGAATCTGCTCCCGTTCAGGGTATTCGACTGCAGATGGCCAATCTTCAGGAATCAGCAGGAGGATATCAACTGGCTTGGAAGTTATTTTGGGACATTTTTAAGCGAACACAAAACCTACAAGACTTCACTGAACAGAGAATCTTAATTGCGAGTAAAATTATTGAGTTGTCCGAACCTCTTGGCTTGCAAGTGGAAGCGACGAAAGCCGCAGATTATATTATACAGTGTTTGCTTCGTAATGAAATTAATGATGAACCAGAAAAAAAGAGTCGTTTATTTGAACAGACCGCTACTTTATATTTTCAGCTTGGAAAGCCTTCCTATGCGGTTCCTTTATATCACCAAGCACTTGAATTAACAATGAATAATCCGACTTGCCATGGATTGATATTGATGAATAACCTTGCTACTAGCTTACTTGCTCAGACTGATTATATCGACAAAAGATATCACGAAAAGCTACTTCAACAGTCTAGTGACTGGAGCCAAAAAGCCGTTGACTCATATTACTTGGCTTATCCTAAGGACCGTACAGTGGAATGTCATTCTGGGTGCGCTGCTGCCTTCTTTACCTTAGGACAAATTGCAGAGCGAAGTGGTCATATCGAAACGGCTATTAAGAATTATCGCAATGCTGAATCTTTACGGGCCCACGACCCATATAATGATGGGTCTATGATGGCTCACATTGCTTTGGACCGTTTAGACAAAAACTCCTTTTTGCGACATAACGAATAATATTATTTTGTGATCTCTACTATTTGTATATATCTATTTTAAAATTTCGTCTTTCTCATAGGTAAAGCTTCTAATGAAGCAAGCACCGACTACTATTATTTCATTACTTTTCAATCCATTTTCAAGCTATTTTAGAATCAGTTATGTTTAGCCAAAATGTTCATAACTTTGTAAATTGTGTATGGGGTTCTCTAGGCTTTCATACTGCCGCCGGCTTCACATGTGGGTTTATAAAATATAATTTAATACTATGGAATATCTTTATTTTTATTTAATTAGTTTTTACTGAAGTTTCGCTTTTAGATCTTTCGCTCAAAGTTTGACACTACTCTACGGATTCTCATACTTTTACTAAGCAGAAAAAGTAAATTTTGTCTCTTGGTTACTTTCGAAGCTAGAACAACCTGAAGAGTAGAAGATGGCTACCAAAGTTACAAAGAAACACATTTTAAACTGTCAATTTTCTAATTGGTATTCGTTATTTCGTACTTTGTCGCCAAAAGCAAGAGTCATAAAGCCAATTCCTGCGTCTATACTAAGATACCTTAATGAAGATGGTATTTATATAAAAGACGTTTCTAATACAATTGAAGATTTAACAGATGAAGAGGATGGGAACGGGGAAGAACAAGAAGACATACATGTTTCTTCTTACTATCCAGACAAACCGACCATTCAACTCATAGACAGGATCATTTCGGAGCTCGATGGAGCCGTGGTGCCCAAATTAAATTGGTCAAGTCCCAAAGACGCTTTATGGATGATGCCCACGGGTACCATGAAATGCACCTCAGCTGAAGACGTTCTTTTGTTACTAAAATCATCGGACTTTATAGCTCATGACCTTGATTATGCCTTTGATGATTGTATAGAAGAAGATGCTCAAGAAGCAGATCTTACGAATCAAAAGTTTCCATCTGAATTTAGTCACGAGCTAATTTTAAAAGAATGGTTTCCCATTCATTCTTCAACGGAGTTCCGTTGCTTTATAAAAGGAAAAAATCTTGTTGCTATATGTCAAAGAGACGACAATTATTACGATTTCTTAGAGGATGACATGAAGGAATTCCTGCCTCTTTTGCAGGATTTGGCATCCAAACTTTCAGAGTTTCCTGATCCCAATTGTATGTATATTTTCTATTTATAACTGTGACCATCTAACGATATTTTTAGTTGTTTTTGACGCTTACGTTCAAAAAAATCGCGCTTGGCTAATTGATATTAATCCATTCTGTGCAAGAACAGACGGGTTGCTCTTTGCCTGGACAGAGTTATACGCAATGGACTCTGAAGCAGAAGGTCCAGAGATTCGATTAATTCCTAAGGGTAGCATGCCTTCTTCTGGAAGTGCCAACTTTTACACCAATCGTGTTCCATTCGATTTAATCGCTGCCAGTCAAGGAGAAAATATACTAGAATTTGCAGAAAAGATGCAAAGCCTGGCTTCAGAAAGTGCTAGAGATGAAGCATAAGCAAAATAAAAATAGGATATATATCCAAGGGAATCGGGTTGTTTACAATTAATCTCATAACAGTTATCTGTTTTTTCTATTTATGATAAATCTAAGTTAGTCTATGTTACTTTTACTTTAAACCATAGCTTGCTTCGCTCTAGTAGTTATTATACATGTACATTCCTTTCCAATTTTGGGACTTTTTTTTTCCATCCACTGAACGCTAGATACCGATGGTTTAGTTCAGCCCTCCAATGAATTCCATACAAAGACTCAATTCCTCCGGTTAGTGATTGCTGTTGACAATAAACTAAACGATGTATGCGAGAATGCAGTAAAGCCATACTACACATAACGCATGGTTCATGAGTCATTAAAACCGTTAAGCCACGACATAAGTATCTTTCTTCAGATGTTTTATGCGGAAGTCTTCGACGTTCCCGTTCACCTGCTGCTACCAAGTTAATCGCCTTCATGGCACAATGGTCGACTGGGTTCTTTGATACATTTCTTTCATCTATAGAAATTGAAAGAACTTTACGTGTACTTAGATCATAAACTGCAGCAGCACAGCCAATTTGTTCCTTGGATTGCGACTCAAAAGCCATTTTAATTAGCTCGTCCATAACTCCATCAATTACTTCCAAATCTCGATCTGTAAAAGTATCCTGCCGTTCGGTATGCCTTCTGTAAAAAACGGGCCATATGGGATTCCATTCCTTGTACTGTTCCTCAGTTAATGGAGCGTAAGAAGGAACCGGAAGGATATAAACCTTTGCTTCAATTCCTAATTCTTGTAGGTCTCTTTCTATCTCATTTTGAGACATTGCAGATTCAGGACATACTATAATTTCTAGTTCCAAGGGCTCATTGTCCTTTTGTATTCTTCGAAGTCTAGCGCAATGTAATAGAGCTTCTTTCTGTTTATTTCTTATTTTTTTGACATATTCAGTTGTTTTTGAGGCAAACTGCGGCTTCAAACGAGCAATCCAAACATTTTCTATTACATTAGTCAATACCGTAACTAGAACCTCATACCTGTTTCTAAAGGCCTTAATTCAAGATGTGATTTTACTAATTTAAAAGGCCAGTCCTGTTCTTGAATTTTTATCTCCCGTTGTTGACTTCTTGATGAATTTGACTTGTCCATTATATTTTACAAAAAAATGTTGTTATATGAATATACAAAAATCACCTATGAAAAAGAAGATGCATTGACTAAAATTGTTTCTGAAGAATATTCTTACATTTTGAAAGTACCTTCTGTTAAATTTACTTTAAAAAACTGCTTTTAAAGCATTACCCACCAAATGTTATGAATATAGTTCCAGAAAGCTTCCCTCAACTGAAACACTGATTATAAAACCGAGAACAATTATTTATTTCATATTTCAGTTCCTACATACCTTTAATAAAAGTCATCGTCACAATGAATGCCGTCGTTAATTTCACAAATTTTCATCAAACCAGTCAGTGAGTAAGTCAAGTCAAGAAATGAACTCAAAAATCGACTCAAAAAATCCATTCCATTAAAAGAATAGTAGTTATTTTTTTAAAGCCATTAGTATGCTCAGCTTGCTCCCCATTGTAGACTCAGGCTTAAGTCGATTTCGAACATGAGAAGCAGCATCCCCTAACCCATGATCAGAAGCCATCGTGTGGATATCATATCCTAACGAAGTAACGCTTCTAAATTCACTGGTTTTTGTATCAAAGACAAAGGGAAGTGGTTCTTCCGATAAGCTTGAGTAGTCGAAATTGACTAATCCACCTACATTACCTAAATTTGCTAGTTAATAACTTTATGAAATAATGCACATACTTTCTTCATTAGAGATGTCCTTGTCGACCTGAAATCCGATATTTTGATCCGAATGGAATTCTTTCACTCGTTCAACCGCTTCATCTTCAAATAAATTATGACAACCCAGGTGAAGGAAAACTTGTAATTGATGATCAGAAAGAAGCTTGGAAATCGAGTCTTTTGCGTGGGGCAATTTCATTCCTTTTGGAATCCTAGTTATTAAATTAAGCGCATTTTCATCGGATCCAATATTCTCCAAAAGAGTACATATAAACTCAGGTTTATCTAAAGAATATGAAATTAAATCTTCCCATAAATCCTTATCTCCTTGCTCTTTGACATAGCGAATGGCTCTACCGATGTCAGACAATTCATTGATTATAAGCATCAAGGCATCTTTGTTATTTCCCATACGACCAAGAACATAAACAAGCTCATCAAGATAACGGTATTTTACACAAACGTTATATGCGTGTCCCAAAGAATAGCACTGTGTGTTCATTAAGAACTCAAACAGCCTTGACCGGTCAAATTCAGCAAAAACGTCCACTTTCAAATCACCATATTCCATGAGCGAATTCGGAAACATAACTTCATAAGAGCAAAAATAGGCATATAAAAATCTTGTAATCGACTGGATCTGTGTTATAACTTCATTAGGTGGAAAAGAATGTACGTGCTGAACAAGCATGTTTATGACTTTTGGATTAACATTTTCAGGACGTCCATCGGCTGAAATAAGTAATAGTTGTAAGATCGATTGCCTTGCTTCACCATATAGGTTGTGTTGAAAAACAAGATCAATGCATTCTTTCTTGTTTAATTTAAGGTATAGCCAGAATGCTTCCACAGGCATACTGTCGTTTACATAAAGAAAGGCTAAGCTATTGGCTAGCTCTCTGCTTTCTTGGTTTTGGTCGTACTTTTTCTGTGCTGCTTTGCGAATTGTCGGCACTGAATATAAGTTTGTCGGCCAGGTATGTAACTTCTCATCAAATTTTTTCTCGTTAAAGGCCATGTAATATGCCAAAGTCATTTCGTATATAACAGGACTTAAATGATCATCACCAAGTGGAAGATACTCAGCAATGTCTTCTAATCGATTATGGTCCGCAAAAACAAAAATCCATTGCTCCCAGCCACTAGGATTGTTACTGTATAAAGTAGGGATTACCAAAGCCGCTTTTCGATATTGCTCATTATCAATTAAATGTGCTACATATTTTTTGCCAAGTTCAGGGACTTGCAATTCTGGAGGCACGTCTTTCATTGTTTTCACTGCAGCAATCGCCTCTGCGTATTCTTCCCGAGAAACAAGATACATGACGTGATCAATCTCATTCCTCTCTCTAGCACATATAAGATCATTAGGAAAAAGGACATATGAATAATCTTTCTTCGCTGGATCTGGAATCAAATGATAATCGGAAGGCTGGAGACGAGAATAGTTAGTCAGTCCGATGACATCGCCAGCGAGCTCTTGAAATGAAGAGTCTATAAGGCGAAGCTCCGGTCGTACTGCGTCTACTCTTTTGGGTCTAGAAGAAGAGGTAAAGTCTTCTACCTCGGCGACGTAAGCAAGAACAAGAATGTTGAAGCCAAACATCATGATACCACTGACAATAGAGTCGATTTCTAAAACAGCCTGTACTGAAACTTTTGGTAATTCATTTGGCTGACTTGAGAGCTGAATGGAGACTATAGATATTTGGTCCGCCCAACCAATTATCAGTCTAGACTCAGATTGCCAATACAGTTGGTAAGGGAATACTTCTTGGTTAGGAAGCTTTTTTGGGTGTTCCAAGTGTCTAAAGATTTTTCCATATTCATTACTATATAGATAAACACCGGAATCAGTAGCCCAAGCAACGTAAGATTTGTACCAATCTATTTTGTATACCGTTCCGCAATCAACCTGAAGAATAATGTCTCTGGAGCCCAGCCATCCTAGGATTTATTAGCATACAGTATCTGGAGTAGTACGCGTCGCAAATCTTATACCTTTTTCGGACAATATGACTTTGCCTGCTCGTCCTCCACATATAATTTGACGTGAAGATCTGGTGCTATAGTAGGGATCAATCGCTACCGATAATAGTGGCCGTTTAAAGTCATAGACATTTGTTTCTTTAGAGCTGATGTTATAGACAATTAGTTTCCCTGTGTAAGTGTCAATTAAATGTTCAACCTTATTAAACAAATAAAACGAACCATCCATTGAACACGATGCTAAGTTTTCACTTTCAAGATCTACAGAAAGACCAGTGACCGTAGCAACATGTAAAATCATTTTTCGAAGTAAAACTCCTTGTCGCGAATAAATATAAACAGCACCATTATGTGATCCAAAAAACTAAAAGAAGAAACTGTTAATCCCTATACATTGTTGAAAGAACCACCTACAAAGTGTTCCTTTGAAATTGCACAGGCGGATATAGAATCGTTCACAAAACAACCTTGAAATCTGTCTGTAATCTTTTCATAGTTCAATTTAGGCTCTTCGTCTTCATCCGACGAAGTTAAAGTGTCTACTTCAGACTCGGAACTGGTTTCACTAACTGACATGAAGTATACACAACCCGAGGGCACCAAAAATAATTAATGTAGTGCTTGTATAAGGTCTTGTTTTTCAAGTTCCAGTACTTTAATTAATTTACAAACGACTGAAAATCTTAAATTGTAATTATATAATCCAAAAATTTGATTGTAAATAGTAGAGGTGGAGAGCAAGATATTTGCGTTATGAGTCTTGGTAACACCTAATGCTTTTACCCCGAGCTTTCATATATTCATTTAAATTATAAAATAAAGGAATTGAACCTTCACTTACTTGCGAGGATAGCAAAATAATTAAAAGCATATATTTGATCTATTAGAACATGTGCATGCAACTCATCAAAGAAAAGAATGTGTTTTTTCCAACATTAGGTAAAAATAAAGAGTATAGAAAGTCAAAACTTCGTATATGAGATGAGGTGGGCATACAACCTTACTTTCGTAAGGAGTATTTGTTCCTGTTCCTCAGCAATTAATTAGAGGAAAAGAAATCGGGAAAAAAAACTTCTTGATAAACAGATAAAATGAAAAACTGACACAGGGAGTCTCTTGATATGGGAAAGAAGTAAAAGAAAAACACAAGGATATTTAGGGGAATCGTATTGCATACCTCAACAAGTTTTTCCGTATGGAGGCTGATAGGTATTTTATTTTCTTCTTCATTAGTATTTTTTGACATTTCCAACTAGTTTTTGTATCGTATCCTGCTGTGCATCCACCTCTGATTCAGCGTCTCCGGCTAATACAGCAGATAACACATTTGTTTTACTGGATTCTTGAAGCTCACCAGCTAGTAATAGTTCTTCTAAAACATAGTAGGCCTTTTCGAAATTGAAAATTAAGTCCAACTCGCAAACCTGTTAAACAAAAAGGTTAGTAATGGAAAGACTCCGAGATTTAGAATGAGCACAATTAACATACATTGCCGAAGTATTTGTCAAGGATCTCAACATATTTATGTATGACTTCTAAAATAATCAATTCATTATCATCCTGCTCGATTCCACAAATAAAGAATAAAGATGCATATCGCCTGTAAACGATTTTTTCTCCTATACAAGCGTTAGTCAACTCAATTCAATACATCGGGACATAAATTGCTTCTTTTACCTTTATACTCTACAAAGTTGCACATCTTAGGCTTGCGGACAATTACTAAAGAAGAAACATCACGGATAATTTTCAACCTCTCCTTCGTCGGCAAAGCGTAAAACCATTTTGCCAAACGAACTTTTCCTTGGCGACTTATTAATAGAAAAAACTTGATGCCCATAGTTGAGGTTTATAGTTTGCACGTTCCTTTGCCCGATAATTTAACAAACGCTGATTATTGAAGGGAATCGAATTGCGAGTACAAATACTTAAGTACTTAAAAGATTAATTTCTGTTTTTAGCCACGATTTATTAGAAGAATGAAAAGTTTTTGGAAAAGTGTTTGCTACATAACCAGTGTAGTCTTGCTGTATCAGACCCTCTTTAAGATAATATTCTAATGGGTTATTTCCAGGTTATTTCCATAATGTGAATATCATATTCATAATTATATGACAAGATAATATCTATATAACATTTTTGTGCTCAAAACTTTAGTTTATTATTAAAAATGAAATCTTTTAGCCTACCATAGTCCGCTTACGACCACGCAGGCGAACCTCTTCGTAGCGTCGAAGGGTAGGTTTGCATTGCTTCCACTTTTGAGCATATGCTTCTAAAACATAATGAAACTGAGATTGTTAGCTATCACAATGAAAGAATAGAATATAACTTACTAGAGCTGCACTATCTGGGAGGGTACTAGCTATAGCACGCTCTAAAACGTATAAATCAACGGCCTTGTCTTCCTCAGACTCCGAAACACTTCCTAGTCCAAAATCAATAAATACAGGTTCTAGAGTTTCAATAGAGCGGAACATCATGTTACTGGTGGTAAGATCACCATGGACAATGTCATTCATATGCATCTTTGCGACTTCAGATCCAATGATTTTCATTAAGGGCGCCAGCGTTGTCTCATATTCTTCCTCAGAGACAAGTTCTTTAATGTAATCTCGAACTGAAGGACCACTGATGTATTCCATGAAAATCTGTCCACGATTGGGCTCAAGAAAATAGAGTAACGGGCAATTCACACCTACAGCATGGCACCTAGCCAAAAGTCTAGCTTCAACTAAACATCTTTTTCTTGTAAGTTTCTGATCAAGTACTGGATGCCTCCATCGTTTCTCAGGACGGGATTTTAGTATGCATGGTTCACCAGGATAGAATTCAATTATAGTTATAATGGCTTCTGCACCTTGTTTTACTACTTTCCACCCTTTTTCTCGAATTTCATGATATAACTGTCCACATTGTTTCCGTAAATCCTGTTTGTCCGTCATATTTTGACGTTCTTGTCGATTTCACAAAAGTCGAATAGAAAGAGGGTGTATCAGAAAGCAGAAAAGATGTTACCAGCTATACAGAATTTCCTATCATTTGTAAATAAAAGATTCAAAAATATTTTTTCTATTACCTTTTCTAATTTATTAGACTGTAAAGTTTATGAAGGTTAAAGTAGCATAATTTGATTTTATTAACTGACATATAGTACAACACTAGACGATCCAATTAATGAACCGTCCATTATCATCATATTCTGTTTGAAGGCTCTTAGATTCAAAAAATTCAACTTTGTCGCCGCACGCTCGAGCTATGAGTTTAAAACGACGGTATAAAAATATTTCTTCTAGTTGACAGATTTCAGATTCGTTCATTTCATTCACTTCTTCTGGAGAGTAGCCCAAAAGGAATTCCAAAAGATTTGAATGAAACTTGGGATGTTCTAAGCAACCGCTTTCATCAATAATGGTTTCAACAAAATTATTAAACTTATTAATTCCAGCTTCGTCCTGTATAAGAAGACTTTTTGAATTTAAAAGTTTTTTCATTTTACTTTTCACAATTATAACATTTACGACTCCAACGACTTGAAGACCCGATGAAACTGTTTGCTCTTCAAGTGCCTTCAGCGTCCATTGCTTACCAGCATCTTGTAGTAATATACTAAATTTCTTAGAAATTGAACAGGAAAATTCTTGAATTCTTTTATCCTGAATCAAGCAACGGACTTGGACTTCGGCATCTTCAATGTTTAATTCAGGGAGACCATGTTCATCGGCAAACACATTTGCATGCGTAATATACAGTACTAAAAATTAGTGAATATTTTCAAAATCAATGTTACTTTTTACCTGTCTGCGCGTTCCATTTTTCGCTTGCACATATTGATGGCTCATCGTGTAAAACTAGAATCGCAGAGTAAGAGCCATCGCTTACCTCAATTAGCCTTTTTACTCTTTTCATTCCTACTCCACATTGATAGTGTTCAACATCATGCTTCCACTGAAGAACAACAAGAGCTTGAACTGCTGTAGCCGTCTGCATATCTTTTAGTAAACGAAGAGGAGATACATTCGAAAGGTCCAGAAAGAGAAACTCTTTTTTTAGATTGACTATAGAAATAATTTCAATTTTACTTTCAGCATCCTCTGCACATAAAGAAAGACGCCATTCATTCAAAGATGTTCGACGCGTTACGACGTTGCTGTACACCTGAACAACATTTCCTAATTTTAATTGCTGCAAAGTTTTATAACACGGAGAAGAGGATTTTAAGTTGTATTTAATCTTTAAGACACCCGTTTCGTCCATGACTTTCAGCTGGTATTGAAGGTTTCGTTGCTTCGTGTCCATTCTCGAAATGTTTACAATTTCGCCTTGTACGCGAAATTTCGAAGACTGGTATTCTAAATTACATATTTTGAGATTCGCATAGGAATTCCAATTGAAAAAATCTTCGTAATAAACGTTCATGGCAAGCATTCATTTATTATTTGTTAATCCTCTCTAAAGAAATATTGATGGCGGTGGAATTGTAGTATGCATGGATATATTCATTCATGGACCAAGAAAGAAATTAAAATAAAAACTTACTCCCAGGTATAAAGATATTTAAATATTAGAAATCAACTGTTATTAAAAAGTCGTGGAGTATCTCAAATTAATTGAAACAGTGTGTAGCAGTTCACAGAGAAGGGAATATACAAAAAAAACACCTACTTCGGTTCTATTAGTCTCCTTCCATAATTCATACAATAATCTTTAAAATACTTTTCTGTAATTTACAGGCCATTCCTTAATTCCTGTGTGAACGAAACCAAGGGTTGGTCAAATTTTGACCCCCAATCTTTCTGGCTATAAACGAAAAACTATAAAAAGCTTTTTTTCGTTTATAACAGAAAGAAAAAATTGAGAAACGGTGGGTGGACGGGTGATCAAAAGCGGAATTGCAATTAGTTTTAAAAAGAGAGAAAAACTGTTAGCAACATAACTGCAAGGATAAATAAAGAAAGAAATGATAATAAGAGGGGAATTAATATCTGTCGGGTATATCTAATAAATGTCCCATTTTTTCAATTTTGGTTCGAAGATAGGCGCCCACTTCAGGGCTGTCAAAACCTCCCTCATCACCTCGCCAAGACTTTGGAATCATGGACAACCTTTCCACCACTTGAACTTCTTTGTTTGGACCTTCAATATTGCTAACCTTTTCCGGGTTGTTTGTCAGTAAACGGATGTTTCTTTGACCAAGATCCAAGAGCATCGCAGTTGCAATCGCGTAAGAACGACCGTCAGCTGGATGTTGTAAGAGAAGGTTAGCTTGGACAGTATCGTTACCAAGATCTTGCAGATTATATGCTTTCAATTTTTCAGACAATCCAATGCCTCGACCCTCTTGTCTCAGATAAATAATTATACCATCCCCTTCTTCACTAATGAGACGAGCAGCCTCATCCAATTGTTCTCCACAATCGCAGCGAGCGGACCAAGCTGTTTCACCAGTGTAGCACTCTGAATGGATCCGTACTAATGGCGTAAAATTTTTCTTTCTAACCTCCTCCTTCTTTTCTTCACTAGCAACTAAAGCGTTTGCATCGACGTATGAGCTTTTTCTTCCTGGATATAATGTTCCCACATAAGCACCACGAATCATGCGCTCCATCTCAGTTTCACCTTCCTGAACCCTATCGAGGCTTTCTGATCGAATTTGCTTTCCAAAAACAATTGCTAAATGCTCTTTGTTGTCTTGGTCGTTCTTATATAAATTTAGGAAAATTTCCGTTCCTGTCGTAGTAGGTATTCTAGCACGAACAATACATCGTACGTTCGGCAGCTTTTCAGCTTTGCTAGTTATTTCTCCTTTGGTCTCTAACTCCTTCCCTGGGCTTAAGATTGGTGAGTTCACACAAGGTGCATCAATAAATCTCTCGTTTTTGGACTTTTCGTTGGCTTTTTTGATGCTTTCTCTTAACATAGCTTTAATTGTGTTTTGTTTTGGCTAAATTTTTTTATCTAATTTACAAAGGATTTCATGCAAATGAATCGTTGATTACTTCAAGGCTTCTAATAAGTTCTGTGCTCGTACCATGCTTTGTCAGATCGGTCAGCATCTAAAGATACCGAAAGAAATTTCATAAAAAGAATAAATCAATCATTGAAATGTAATAGATGTTTTATTAAATCTAAAAGAAATGTATTATGAAAGAAAATCCACGTATCGCAGCAAGTATATAATTTTATGAACGCCCCCATGAAAGCGTAGAAAATATTCACTTTTACAAGTTATTTAATAATTGAATAATACTCATTATCTGTATAATTGGATTGTTACGAGCACTAGGTTGTTAGTTTCTCATTATGATTTCCCACGGCTTTACTCTTTTCGAACATAGACGGTATCAGAAAATTACGCCTTTTAGAAGAAGTCCTAATCACATTATCATCTTTCGCTTTCAAAGTTACAAGGATATAATAGGTACGGTTAGTTGTCGATATATCCATAAACCATTCATTTGTTCCCTTAAATAAATCTTTTCTCTTTATCTTTTTCTGTATCAAAGTTGAAAACCTAAGTCTATACAAAAACAGATCTATAAAAACAATACATTCCTTCCGCTAAGACTCTATATGAGCTCGTAATTTATCAAGCTGCATACGAATCAATTTTGCAAACTGGGTTTTTGTTTCCTTAGAAGCTTCAGCATCCTCTTTCGGTAATCCGATAACCTCTATGGCATACTCTTGTTCATATAAGGTAGCAGGCTCTGCCAAGCTGGATAGGAAGTTAGGGTGAGATATTAGGTAGTCAATACCATTTAACATTTCGGCCTTCAACTCCGACACTCGAATCTCTTGTAGCAAAGCGGGATTAAAGTACTGTAAAAGGTCCATTAATAAAACCAACATAAAAGATTCATCTATAGACGCCAATGAAACTGAAGAAGGAGGTTGAGACCAATTTAAGAAGGAGAATTGAATTTGAGGTAAAACCAAAAGTATAAATTCTCTAGCATCATTCATTGTGCGATTACCAAGGTATTTCACGATATTAAACAGCAAAGGAAGAATTCCTCGAATCCACAGTTTATATTGTACAGACGAAACGTCGGCACCAAGCCCTCCTGTTTTTAATAAACTACTCAATGGACTTTCAGCAATTGCAAAGAACACTCCCTGGGATGCTACCTGTTCCGCTCCTGCTGGTATGGAAGAACAAGTTACCAAAAATGAGAGCGCTGCATCAGCAAAATAAGGCTGACCGTCTATTAACAAAGCGTGAGACCATGAAAACAAGCGCAAACAGTTTTCAACTGATGAGTGATCCATAATATGACTAATATAAACAGATTGCAGTCCTTTAATTAATTGGGAATTAACTATAACGTTCTGAATGGCATTTAATAAAACAATATCACTATGCACATCTGGCGTTGGTTCCGTAATGGCATGCTGAAATAACTGAGATAATTTACGATGACACATCGATAGGATTCCCGAAACAAATCCCACTTCAATATTCACTTTCTGATTCGCGTTCGATAATAGCTTATTCAGACCATTGTACAAAACTTGAAGTAAAGGACGGTAATAATTCATTTGAAGCCCATTATCAACCTCAAACAAAGAGAACTTATCGGTACTTAGCGCTTGCCATGTTAATACCATTAGTGATTCTAAGCGTTCTTTAAAACCATCCGTAAGAGGAGCTGACATTGCATGTTGTGAAACATGAAAAACCAAAGCTGCTCGTTCTATAGATAAATCCCTAATAATAAATGAATCAACAGTATCATTTCCAAGGGACTCCAAAATCCAATTCATAATGTCGAAGTCTAAGAAGGATAACGTACTATCCTCTTTAACAAAATCAATAAATGCGGACAAGAATATACTCCATGACCGAAGGAGTGCAGTTTGAGCATCTAGCGTAGAGAGAGCATCATTAGCACTCCCCATACTGCTAATCATTGGCTCAATGTTACCATAAACGGATAGCATGGCTTTAGCAAGGTGTGTATTGTAAAAATAGTTTTTTCCGTAAACAGGAGGAGTAATTCCTGTGTTTTTTAAAGACATTGCGTTTAGTTCGCTTTGAAATCTTTCAAAATTATTATTTAGCGTTTCAAAGACTGAAGGATCATAGGTCGTTATTGTAAATGCAGATTGGATAAGGTCATGAAGACAATCTTTTAACGGATCTATAACAAGTTTCTTTGCACTAACACATTTATTAAATTTTGCAATATGCAACTGAATAGCTGCAATCCTTACCGCATGAGCGGCGAGAACATAAAGATCCGCTTTGGATATTTCCAATAATTCAGGGCTCGAAACTGTAACTGGAAGCTTAATAGCATCAATAACCTTTTTCCAGAAATCTGTCTCTTGTTGTGCCGTTCCGTAAGACGCAGACCAAAAATTTCTTGATAAAAATATAAATTCAATAATAGGCACCTGTGTGGAGACATCATTAATGAAAAAGTTATCCATTCGTTTTTCAGCCAAATTAATAAGGCTTCTTGACGTTATTTGGGTTTGCTCATTGTGTCTTAAACTCTTCATGTTTTCCAAAGGAAATTTCTTGCCAGAGAAAAGAAGCACTGCCAGCCCTTGTTGCTGTCCTTTCATGATTGATGACAAAAATTTCCAAACACATCCCTCGATATAACTTGAATGTATAGGATTTTCCAATAAACGTACGCATACACGACCAACGACGTCGGTAAAATTGACCATATAAGCTAAAAGAGAAGGAGTTTCAGAAGGCCAAGGGGCAAGAATTAACGAAGTAAGTAGTCTGAGAATTGAACCTACACATGGATAAATCTGAGGTAAAGCATAAAAAAGTTGAGGTGAACGAGAGAATAAGTCCCTTTCTAATTCGGAAGGTTTAAGGTTTAAAAATCCTCTCAGATCAATCAAAATTTGCATCGTTTCTAAAGACGAAACAAGCCAGTTCTTAGCAACCTCCGCTAACTTATTATCTGTAGAAGAAAATATTTCTGTGTACAAAGGATCTATGCGATCCAAAATTGAAAGTAAAGGATGCAAATAGCGTTTGGCATCTTGCTGAACCAAAAATCTTTGTACAACGTAATTTCCTAGTTGCTGTAACGGTAATATTCTTTTATTTGGGACTTTAGAACCAAAGTACTCGATACCATATATGACATTAAGCAATTTTGTAATTAGACTTGTGAATCGACAACCAATTTCATACTGTTGGATGATCTTAGAGTATCTCCAATCAAGAAAGTTGGCAAATATTTCGCAGAAACACTGAATAGATTGTTTAGCGAACTCACTTTTTAAATTTATGGAAAAGTCATCAGGAATAACGGACGTTGATATGCAATTATCGAGTAGTAATTCGTAAAGCTCAAAGAAAGCCAAAGTAAAATCATATACACCGCTTAGCGATTCGTGTTCAAAAATAACATTACCTAAAGATAAAACCTTTTGTAAAGAGCGACTCGCATATGCCCAAATGCTAGTTGGTTCAATATGAACAAATGCACAAAGAAGCTGACAGGATAGAACACATATTTGATATTCAGTATCGCTCAGACTGGAATTTGATAAATAGTGGTCTAAAACACTGCAAATAAGATCGATAAAGTCATATTCTCCTTCCAATGAAATAGAAACTAATCGAGTCAGTTCACGAATTTCAGTAGTGTTGGATTTGTACAAATCAACCAAAGCGTGCAAGAATGTCACCAAAAACTCATCATGCAGATGATAAAGATTATTTGTTACGATATGCTGTAAAGATATACCAATACAAGGCCAACGTGGATAAACCACATCCCACATGACAATGGGAGGGAATGTATCTACAGATACAATTCTTCCTCTAGTACCTTTAGGAATAGCCTTCTCAGGATTAGGAAAGAAAAAGCCAGTTTGTTCCAAAGGTAATGAGTCCTGCAGTTCAATAAGAACGTTCGTTGTTACGTTCGGCTCAGGTATAATTTCATAAGATTTGAATCCCTTCGGTAAAACTTGAGTAAAGGTGGTATTTAAATTAAAGTCAGGATTAACTGGACGTTGAAGGTTTAACGAAGAAAGGACAGGAGTGAGCAAGAGCGGGAACTGAGATAATTCAAAAGGGAATCTAGCTCCTGCATAAGAGAATAGATGAGCTACACTTTCGATATCGGAAAACATCTCAAAGATTTGTGGGTTTTTGAAAAGAGTGGTAGCACAAAAAATGACAGAAGATGAGAACTTTACATAGGAAATAGCTTCCGCAAATAAAACAGCCAAAATAATTAAATAACCATCATAATTAACATCATCTTGTAACCCATTTAAAATAGAATGCATAAGAGAGAAAGGGTCAAGTCTAACAGCCGAGATAATCATACTCTGATAAGAAGTCTGCGGGTTTTTGAAAAGAGTATGTGAGACCACGCTTGAGTTTTGAACGGTGCTTAGATTTTCGGGACTATTATGAAGGTTATGAAGAGCAATACCCCAAGTCAATGCTACTACTGAACCAATCGGGTCGCCAAGAAAACTTGACATAATGTCTTGAATTTTCAAAATACAATCTCCAGATGTCATGAAGAAGGCATCATTCGCTTGGAACGGCAAAACCTGTTTGTCTAAAGAAATGATTGTTACTGAAATGACCGTTGCGAGATAAGTAAGCTTATTGCACAAAGAAAATCCTGTCTCCATGTCTAAATGCATGAACTCTTGGTCATGCAAAAACCTTGTTTTTTTCATGCAAGAAAACCAAGCAATAGCTACTTCCGATGTGCATGGGAGGAGGGAATAGATTAAAAGGAACAAAACTCGAAGTAATTGCAGTTGTAGGTGGAAATAGAAGAAATACCAATGAGCTAGAGTCGCTTCTCCTAGTAAAGTGTACTGAATTGGAGCAGCCTGATCGGAGAGTTCATTAAAGTAGGCGATTAAGTCAATACAATAGGCGGACGGTTCTCGAGGATTTGATTTCTTGGATTGTTCCAAAGTTGCAACAACCATGTATTTTGAAGCTTTATACCAGAAATGATTTGGATCTGCGCAAGCACGAAGCAAAAAGACAAATACCTTCCAACAAGAAAATAGCTCAGCATAATATCGCTTTTGGAATTCCTGAACAAGGAATGCATCATCATTTGAGTATGAAGAGTATTTAAGCATAAATTCATCGTTGTAGGAGAGAATCACATACAGGACTTCGGCTTCATCAAATCCTGTTAAGTCCGATAACCTCCTTGCAAATTCCTTTTGAGACTTTTTCACTGGGTATGAATGTTTATATACAGACAAAACGCAATCTTCTTCTTCTTTTTCAGTAGCTTTTGAAGCTTGCACGCTTCCCCGCAAAGGATATCGAATGTTTTGGAATGCAGAAACCCTTTCAGCTACCAAACTCTCAAACGTTTCCTTTGAAATGCTTTCATTTTGAGCTTGAAAACTGCTTAAGATCCAAGCCCAAGAGCTACACATTTAGTCAGTAAATTGAACACAAAAACAAATCTTGCTAAATTCAAGACAACCACATACATTAGGGAGTCACCCATGGAAAAAAGACTGACGAACCGACAAACTACAAATCAAAAAAGAATGATTTCAGGACGAAAGTTGATTCCGTTCTAACTCTTATAACGTCTTTCAATTGTTTCTTTTGTATGGGTTTTGCAACGAGTACTACTACTAAGTCGCTTACCATACCACGGAATAGTGTCCCACAATGTAAGCCAACGCCGCGTTGTTAAGATTCACTAATAAACAAACTATCTCTAAAAATTCGATAATTGAAAAAAACGAATTTACTTGCAAACATGGGCTTCAAGCTGCCACATTTTAATGGACTTCTTATTGAAAATGAGAGATTGCTTCTTACTAGGTTACTTTCTGTTTCCTTTTAGTTGTATATTTACAGGTAAAGCTCCAAGTTTTACAAAACATATTTGAAGAGTATGAAAGACAAGCTTTATAGTTCTTTAACAAACTAAATATTGGTACAACAAGTGAATTGACTTGAATGAAAAAACGAAATCACTCGTTTTAATGAAGGATCATTGTTTAGTAGCAAGAAAAACGCCGTCTAGTTATTATTTAGGAATAACGAATAATATAATTATTATGGCAATATAAACTATATTAATAAGGTAATAAACGTGTCACGGGAGAAATCTCACACGTTATGAGAATGTAAATCGAGTGGAAGTAATAAGTACAATTACAAAATTGTCTATTGGAATTGGACGTGTTAGTACTACGTAGAGTAATAGTAATATGTCCAGGGATCTGATTAACTAAATGAAAACGACTAAGTGTCAATCTTATTTAGCCTGATCAGTCAAATCTTCCGATCTAAAGATTTCGACTGTCGACACACATATATATATTATTCTGTATATTTGCCATCGTGACTGGCTTCTCTAATTAATAGCAATAATCACGAATTGTAAATTTTAATCGGAGTTTCTGCAATCAAAGAGAAATTTGCATTTTCAAATTTTTGTTTACTTATTATCAAGCACAATTCTTTAAGCTTATGAATATTAACTGATATTAGCTAATATTCCATTCTTATAACGAATTGTTATATTATGAATGCTAACGAGGGACCCAATTATGACACCTCCCTGCCTAAGAGTC